GCTCAGAACTTTTTTCTCTTTTTGGAAATAATAGAATGTATGTCAGGATTCTCTTCCTCCGTGAAATAATAAATTTGAACAACTAAATGTTTTAATAGTTTAAGGTAGTAAGAAATAATTTAAATTAATTATTTATATTCTAACATGTAATATCATATTATAAGCCCAAAATATCAGTACTCAAACAATCTTCAACGGTTATGCTAAGAAGAAAATCCATTTTGGATTTAAATAATTTCAACGACTCAATGGTTTTTTGTTCTGGAAAAACTGAAAAGTCACTTTTGGAAGTTTTGCACAAGTAATAATAAAAAAGAATATGGTATAAATGGGAGAAAAAGCTATTAGTCACAGATCTAATATTAAGCACTCTATACTTTTGGCTATTTCAGTTTTGTCATCTGTAACTAATAATGGAATTGTTTACATACAACCTGTGCAAAAGGATATTAAGATGAGTCTAGAAAGCATTAGGTTCAAGTCACTGAACAACTTGCTACTAAGCATATATACCAGAAAAGCCACACTTTTGATCTAGCATGTAGGCCAGAAAATAACCTAAGCCCATTCAGCAAAATTAAAGCTTTTATCAAAGAGTTGCCACTATCATAATCCTTCCGATTGGAAGAATCGAAGAAGATAAGGAATGAATCTTTAAAGACTATCAACATCATAGTTCAATTCTGAAAACTTATGCTTTCTTTTCACACAACAAAAAAAAGAGAGAGAGGAAGTTCCTTAGAGAGAGAGAGAGAGAGGAAAAAAAGGAGAAACATTCAGCTGCTAGCAACGTGGAAGGGGCTTAATTTTCCCAACTGCCCTGATCTATAAATCTCTGTCTAACCAGAGTCTTTTAGACAGAACAGGAACCAAAAAAGTAATCAGAACCTATGGACAAGGAATCAGAACTTTAAGATCAAAAATGGAAATTTCTGAAGAGGCTTATCAATTTATGGATATTGACTACAAAGTAAATGAATTTCACAAAATTTCTAAATTGGTTCCAAACATAGCCTTAAACTATTTTTCTTTAATAATTTTTATGTACATCTTAATTGATTCTACTGATCTCAGGGTCTAAGCCTAGAACTCTGTGCAAAAGATAGAGTAGGCTTGCTGTCTGAAGTAACAAGAATTCTGAGGGAGAATGGATTATCAGTTACAAGAGCAGGTGTGACAACAATCGGGGAGCAAGCTATGAATGTATTCTATGTGAGAGATGCTTCAGGGAATCCAGTAGACATGAAGACCATCGAAGCACTACGTAAAGAAATTGGACACACCATGATGCTTAATGTGAAAAAGGTTCCATCCAGTGCAAAGGCACCAGCTGAGGCCAAGGGATGGGCTAAAGTAAGCTTCTTCTTTGAGAATTTGTTGGAAAAGTTCTTGGCTTGAAAATCATGTGGATATGACTTACAGATGTACCGTAATGTATATAATCATAATTCCGTTCTGAAACAAATAAGGGCAAAGCCTATCATGTATAAAATGTGTGACGGTGCAGGTTAAAGCTAAGGCTTTGGAGCTTCTAAGTTGTTTCATGTCGAATAGAACTGAAGCAAGAAGCTTGCTTAGTTTATTGGAACTTATGACTTGACCAAGTATACTATTTGACTTAGAATGGCAGTAAGTGAATTTGAAAGATAAGAGAGGTTTGCTTGTTCCTAAAAGTATTATTTGTTTTTCCTTTTCAGAAAGCATGTGAAGTACAACTAGAATAAGGGTCTACGGTCAACATTCAGGTAAGCAACACAGTGCAACAATGTTGAAGAGACTTCGCAATCACTCAATCCATTATAGTAGTTGAAATAATATCCAAAAATGAAGCACGAATAGTTCTGTAGACAGTAAAGTTTTCAAAGCCCTAAGTTTCTAGAATATAAATCATTAAGAATGCAGTAGAAAGTGGGTTAAATTATTTACAAGATATTCAAGATAAAACTGGAGTGAACTTGGTTCAAACACATAAAGAATATTGTTCTCGAGGCAGCGCATGTAGAAAGTATCCAAATAGATAAGGTGAAGCCTATTCATAGAGCAGCGTACAGCAACCAATAACACCATCATCAATGTCAATGTCAATGTACGTGTATATTGTCTGCAATTTCACGGCTATATCATATTCCTATGGAAAAATATACGCCAACCGATCGCTTAACGAACAGCCATGTCCAGAAGGTTTGCTTGGCAGGATATACATAATACAAGTAAGCAATAATTGATAACTGAACAGTTTTGAAAAGAAAAATAAATGGAACAGACAATTAAGCAGACAAGTCCAAATTCTTCTATAACCCAAAACAATAACAAAGAATTCTTCAGCAACTAAAATAATTGGAACTCTCTCACAATCACGTAATCCACTTCCAAAGAGTGGTTCGTTTCTTTAAAAGCTGGAAGGGATTAGGGAGCACGGTTTATCCCCTCCGTGTCCCCTTGTCTACGGAGAGAGCCATCCAAGATAAGAAAAGTAGAATTGAGATTTGAAACTTAGGAGAAAAACGATTGGAAAGAAGAGAAAAACAATTCCGTCAATAAAAGGAATATACCTGTGACGAAAAGCAGCGCAGAATCCATAAACAAATCTAGGGAAGGAGACTGAAGCTTTTTGGAGGGAAATAATGCAACTTTGTTCTCCGCGCAAGAGACAGAAGAGACGCAGAGACGGAGTGAAAAAGGACCAACTGCGGAGCGCTGATGCGTTTTTGGTCATCGTTCTTCTTTTTGAGCGATGGGAAGTGTGTTGTAACTGACGATAATTAATAATAATTTATTATAATTGTTTAATTTTTATTTTTAAAAAATTTAAATAAAACTATAATAAATTATAAATAACTATTATATTGCTAATAAGTTTTATGTATTATTATATGATAAATTGATAAAATCTGAAATAATTATTTGAAATAATAAAGTTTTTTAAATAAAATTATAATAAATTAAAATAACTACAATAATTCTCTTGTTTGAAAATTTAAATTAAATTCATCTGATGATAAATTTTTAAATACTTTGGTAGTCCTATTTAAATCCGTATTTGATTTATTGTTTTCGATAATTAAATATAAATATTTACATTCTATTCATTACTTAGTAATAAAATTACCCACCCATAATAGGCAAGATCAATTTATTACAGAATAATTAATATATATATATAATATGATATGAAACTTCGAGCTATCATAATTATATTAAGTTTTTTTTTTTTTTTGAATTCGATTTTCTATAAGGATGTTCCTATAATATATGAATTTTTATTTAATATTTTTAATTAATGAACTGTTTTTATATCTTGTTCGGTATAAGCGTCAAAATATATCTTCCATCAATATTCCGTCCAGTACGAAAGTGAAACGGATCGTCCTCGTATTATATTCAGTTTGAATGTTAAAATATATCATTTCTCAATATTCCGTCTAGTATAAGGGTGAAACAGATCGTACTCATACTCCGTCTAATATAAGCGTTAAAATATATCATTCTTTAATACCCTGTTCGGGTGAGCCAATATTCACGATAGAATTCTTTATTTACTCAATTTAAATTTTACGATATCCAATATTATATGTATTTAAATTTTGTTATTTACTTATTCTTTTATTATTCTCCTAATACGGAGAAAGTCGAACTCTTTATTACCTATAATGTAAAAACTTTTCGATAATTACAAAATGGTACTTACATACCTCATAAATTCGCAACATTTTTTTAAGAAAATATTTTTAAAATCCCTTAAAAATATTTTTCTTATTCAAGAAAAAAAAAATATATATATATATATTACAATTTATACGTAATCTAAATTCAGCATACATTATTTTATTATATGCTTATCCTGAATAGCTACCTCCCTACCTGACGGTGCTTCGATTTTATACAAATAGAAGCTTCTCCACACGCCTACACAACTCTACAGACCATCCAATTTTTCTCTTTTTCTTTTTCTTTTTAGAGGAAAAATTCTTTTTATTTTCTCCCCTTTATTTAATTTATTTTATTTATAATAATATTTTTTTAATATAATATGATATATTAAAAAAGGTTACAAAAATAAAAATAATATTATATCTGAGTTCCAATTTTTGAAATAATACCACCTCGTATGCGTGGGGCCTACGTCTTTGCCATCTCGGACTACGTATAAGAACACGACACGTGGCACCATATGCGTTGTTAGTTCGTACCCGATACGTTTCTCTTTGCTTGATTGTTTCCCTCCTGTCCTATCTTAATAAACACCTCGACCCCTTGCCTTCCCCCTGGCTCTCGCACAGCTCCCGAGTCACAAGACTGAAGAAAGCCAAAAAGAAAGTAAAAAGAAGAGAAGAAAAATGAAGAAAGAACAGGTATGATCAAAATCCTGTTTCTGCAATTTCAATGCAATTAGGAATTTCTTTACGTTATGTATATGTATTGTTTGGTTCATGTTGATCTATTGGGAAAAAAAAAAAAAAAGAAAAAACGGCTGAACTCAGCTATTTTGACTTGAGCGTTTTTGGTTTTGATTAATACTGATTTTTTTTTTAATTTGTTTTGCTGCAAATGAATGATTATTAATTTTTTTTTTTTTTTTTTTTACATTTTGCTCTTGGCTGAAAAGTAGTAATCTTTGTTTACGTTTAATTGCTTGTTTTATTTTGCTTTAATAACTGGTTTCTGATTTTATCACTGTAAATTTGAGCTTAGCGGTGGAGATTTCCTACTTGTGTTTCGAATTTTGCCTCCTTTTTAAGGTCTCTCTGTTTATCGTAAAAATCTTTCTATTCCTTAACGGTATAAGCTGTGAGGTTCAATGCATGGTCTCGTGAAGAGGTTCTTCTTCTTTTTTTTTTTTTTGGGTATCCCGCGTAGTCTTCAGGGGTTGAGACATGGAGTATGAAAGTTTCTAGCTTAGGTGTCGTGTTATCGGACGTTTTACTTATTCCAAGGTGTTGGAATTTGTAGAATTCTTATCTGATTGTTATCTTTCGCTCTCTATGACCCTTTGGCAGTAGACTCGAGGAGTTTTTATCAATTACGGGTGGAAAATTGTGCAAGCGGTGCTAGGCGGAGTGCGAAATGGGCGGAGAACCTAAAGTCAGTACCGTGGACTTGAACTTGTGCTTCGAGAGGTTGATGATGGTTGGCGGTGCTATTGACGGGCTTGGAGTTGAGAAAATGAAGATGGAGGGCGTCGTGATCACTGAGTGGAAGGATATCCCGATGGAGCTGTTGTTGAGAATCATTTCGCTTGTTGATGATCGGACAGTAATCATGGCTTCTGGCGTCTGTAGTGGGTGGAGGGATGCCATTTCCTTTGGCCTGACCCATCTGTCTCTCTCCTGGTATATGTTTCTTTCCCGTGTCTATGTGTATATTCTCATCTTATCTCTCGTTCAAGAAGGATGCCGATATTCCTTGGATTTGCTGAATATTCATTTTCTGGTTTGTTTTCCTATTATTGAGGATCCTGTTGATCTTCTAAAAGGCTTATTATTACTACATGCCTTTTGTTTCTCCTTCGTACATTTTTCTCTGGTTGGGTAACGCTTTCTGTGAGCTCAAGTAGGAGATCAAGATTGGAGGAAGAGAACGAAGAACAATATAATATATATTGCCACTTTGATGATCCCCTGTTGTTGTGGATTTATCTGCAGTTATAAATCATGATTTTGCTGGTCATGTTGAACAATGAATTATCTATCAAATTAGACAGGAATTAAGGCCTCTGGCATCTACCCATCAATAAGTTATACATCCCACTTCTTGTCATATCCCTGATGAAAATCGTATCATCCTTGAACAGGGGTTACTTTTGAAAAAACATAATCTGCCGATTGATACATTCTCATTTTGCTGATAATAAATTATTGTCCCATGTAGTAAGAGTTACCATAATGCAGTAACATGGAAAATTGTATCGTCCTAATCACGACTGGCATAGGAACTTGGAAGGATGTTGTTAGTTTTTTTCACATTCTTCCTCAGAACTCGGCTAGTTTCCTTCAGTTATTGATGGATACTAAAGTTGTAGATGCTAAGTGCTTAATTATACCTTAGATGCACTTGGTTGTTACCCTTCTTTCGGTATGCTTCATTGTTTTACGCATATCATACTGTAGCATCTAGTCGGACAAAGATCAAGGTTAAGAATAATTACTGGTTTTCTATGTTTATTAATACCCTTAGAGATTTTTCTATCCAATTCAGTGCTTTGGCTTCTCATGCTGAAGCTTATTGTTTAATAATTCTGGGTAGAGTAATTGTGTTTTGTTTGTTTGAAGGCCTTACCAGGTCATGGTAGATTGATTGCATATATCTGGATGATGCAAGATCACTTCTGCTCATCCTCATCCTAGGAAGCTGATTAGTGGGTTGTTTACTCTCATGGTTCTTAAATGTGTGCTTATTGTTCTTTATTATCTTGTTTCATAAATATAGAGATAATGTTTATTTGGTTATTATGCTCGTAACCTCTGTTTAAGCACTTTTTTGGTAAGCACTTTTTTGGATTTTATATTTACATGTGACTTTAAGGAATATCATTAAATCATATCTGTCAAATTTAATTTACTTACATTCTTAGTATTCCCTTTTTCTGGTTATATATTACTTTGTTAAATTGTTTATCTTTTGCCAGTTGTTCATTCTTATGCTTCTTTCGCTGGATCTTTTACCAAATTTATCTGCTCTTCTTTCATGATATATAAGATGAAATGTTGTTTGCTTTTCTCTCTTTCAGGTGCAAAAACAACATGAACAACTTAGTTCTATCTCTTGTTCCTAGATTCACCAAATTGCAAACGCTGATACTGCGGCAAGATAAACCACAAATTGAGGATATTGCTATTGAGACAATAGCAAATCATTGTCATGATCTCCATGACCTGGACCTAAGCAAGAGCTTCAAGCTAAGTGATCGCGCTCTTTGTGCGTTGGCCCATGGTTGCCCTAACCTCACTAAACTCAACATCAGTGGCTGTACCGCATTCAGTGATAATGCTCTTGCATACTTGACAGGGTTTTGCCGGAAACTAAAAGTTTTAAATCTTTGTGGATGTGTAAAAGCTGCATCTGACACTGCACTGCAGGTATAAGTGAATTGATTTGTTTACATGCCCCTTTACAAGACAAAATCCTTAGATCTATTTATATAATTACATGCAGGCTATTGGATGCAACTGCAACCAATTACAGTCTTTGAATCTGGGTTGGTGTGAAAATGTGAGTGACTTAGGAGTTATGACTTTAGCATATGGATGCCCTGATCTCCGGAATGTCGACTTGTGTGGCTGTGTCTGCATAACAGGTGTGTATTGTTGTATGCTTGTAATTTTTGTCTAAAATAAGTTATTTAGATTATAAAGCAAATTATTAATTTCACCCCTTGTGGTTTAAACTATTTATTAGACAACTCTATAGTTGGTTCTGTAATAGTTCAATATCTTAAGCTCTCACTATTATGCTAAGCTTTTATTATTAGACAAAAGGAGTAAATATAATAGTTTAATTATACTCTAGAGAAAAGAGTCCCTAAAACTCTAACAATGCTTTATGTGGAAGAATTTATAGCTTTCAATAAATAGTGACATTGAAGTGTAATTTCTAGACTTAATATATTATGGACTAGTCTATATTGCAAAGGTGATTATTTTTCAGAATAAAGAAGAAATGGCAGATTTTGTTAAAAAGACAATTTCTTTGTAAAAGATGAGTCTTAAGTCATGCAAGTCATATGCTGTGACTACAGCAACAAAGTTATTCATTTTCAAATTATGAAACCATAAGGTACTGAACTGTCACAAAATAAATTATAGTAGTTTTATTTCAAAATAGGCTAAAACCAATTAATGAAACTATAATTTTCTCTTGAGTATAATTAAACCACTTGGGTATCCAACAAATTATTCTGGCTTGACCAGATGCTTTTTCGGAATATTTTGACTCCCTTTTTAACATTTCTCTCTAGGTAACAATTATAGCTCCATATGGTTTCAGGGTTCGAATGAAATATATCTGGTAAAATTGAACCTAGTTTCTTGACTTTCTCTATGTTTTTCTATCTGGAGTTAGGCTTGATTAACATGGGCTTTAACGTGAAATGTAGTCTGCATTATAAACTCAACTACCCTAACCTACTTGTTTTTTGGTAAAAGTAAAAAACAAGCAAGTCTTTTTTCTGAACATGTAAACAGGTGTGAAGAAAAAAAATTCTTGGATGATTCTTATTGATTAGATAATTGTGCTATTTATGGCTTAGAAAGGATGAGAGTATAGAAACTTAATGATATAAAATACAAGATTATTAGTAAACATGGACTATATACAGAGAAGACTTTCTGAATCCTTGGATGAGCAATTTTTTAAAGTTAGTTCAAACAGGAATGTCTTGATAAAACCTTATTACTTCTGTTTGACAATGAGCAGAATAGCTAACCAAGACTTCCCATGAAAACTGTTTTGGAAGACCAATACAAAGAGTTGTATCTTAACTATGGACAATCTGATTAAAAGGAGAAAGGCATGTGAGTGGATGCTATTTATGCAAGAGAGCTGCAGAGTCTGTCAAGCATCTCCTCCTATAGGATCCTTTTTCTTATTAGCTTTGGTCTTTGGCTTATATTTCCCTGGGGTGAAGTGGGTTGTGGCTTGCTAGGTCAAAGAGGAGATATGGGCTTGGAGAGACATCCATGGGCAAGAACTTAGGTCTTATCCATTTCGCTACCTTATGGATTAGATGGAAAGAAAAAGATAGAAGAGCTTTTCAGGGTGTAGAATTATCTTTTGATGGGATTAAGGATACTTAGATTCTATTATCCCAAAAAAAAAAAGATATTTAGATTCTAGACCTTTGGCTTTCTCATTAAGCGTCATCCTCTTTGTACTTGTGAGAACTTAAGGGACTCAAGTGATATTTTTGATAGATTTGTAAAGTTTTTTGTATATGAGTTATAGCTCGTTAGTACTGTTTAATACTATATTCTTTCTTTTGGAAAAAAAGGATTGATGACAGATTAAGAAAAAGGATACATTTAACCCTTTTCCCCCTGCAAGTTATGCAAGTTATCATGTAGAGGTTGGATCTCATATGATTAAACCTTGCAGAAGAAAGATCCTTGGTGAATATAATAGGTCACTGATCTTAACTAGCAATGTGGCAAACCACTATTGTACTTGACCCGTTCTCTGGACAAAGCGGATGTCCAGCTCAATATGCTTAAAGTAGGTATGATGACAGAATTAGAAGTCGTATAAGTGGCAGTACTGTTGCAAAACAAGATAGAGACATCATATAAAGCTTTATGTCTGATGGAGACTGGAAATCAAATAGTCTTCAATTTTTTTGAGATTCATTTTTGAGAGAAGCAAAAGAAGGATGAAGAAATCTGTTTGCAATATGGCAAATCTGAAAAACAGCTGGCTGATATCCTCATCAAGCCACTGACGAAGCAAGGGTTTGAAGTCCTAAGAAGAATGCTTGGCATTGTCAGCAAAAATGTTGAGGAATGTTAAAGGGTTAACATATTTTGCTGTCAACCAAAGATGCAGTGCTTTATCCCTAAGCTAGTGTTTTGTCTAATAGTTTATATTTTGTGAAAAGTTTGTATCAGTAAAAAGCTACTTCTGGATTGGTAAAGGTTACTTAAGCTAGTTTGCTAGTTATTTTTTCTTTTTCTGGAATGTAGAAGCTGTCATGGATAGCAACTTTGCATTTGATATAAGACCTTATTAATGAAGCAGATAAGTTTTTTGCCTCAAGTTGCATGTCAAACAAGGATATAAATAAAAAGGCCAAGGTTAACTAAGCCCTAGGATACTTTTTCCCCAGAAAATCTATTTGTTTATTTAGGATAATAGTTTCTCTCATCATTAAGTAATGATAGTTGTAAACAAATTTAGAACTTGAAAAGTTAAGTATGGTTATTTTTGTCAAGGGTAGCTGTATGGTGGCAGCTGAGAACAATGATCCAATAATTTGATGTAGAAGCTGGAGTTTTTTCACTTGTTATTAAAAAGGGCTACTGTCATTATCAGCTGTGGAATGTGACCGGCATTGACCTTGGTTATTTTACTGCAGATGAAAGTGTGGTTGCTTTGGCAAACAGGTGTCTCCATCTGGCATCCCTTGGGCTATACTATTGCAGAAATATCACAGACAGAGCAATATATGAACTCATATATTCACTAGCCCGGAACGGAGTGAAGAAACCAGGGATTTGGAAGTCCATGAAAGGAAGGTTTGAGGAAGAAGGGTTGAGGAGTCTGAATATCAGCCAGTGCACAGCGCTCACCCCACCTGCTGTTCAGGCACTTTGTGATACATTTCCCGCACTTCATACCTGCTCCGGGAGGCATTCGTTGGTCATGAGTGGCTGTCTGAATCTAACATCCGTACATTGTGCCTGTGCGTTCCAAGCACACCGCACAGCCAGCAACATTCCTCATCCAGCTCATTAATTGGCATGAATTAAGTAAGGTTTCAGGCACACACTCTTCTTTTTGTGGGCATAGATAAGGAAGAAGGGTGCCTTATGTATATAGAGTTCTGTTGGAAGGTAGGCTGCAAATTGCAGATGTTTCTTTCTTGTATGGCTGTGTATATAAGCCCAAGCTTGTCTGCTCTAAATTTTTGAATTGAAGTAGGTGGAAGTTTACCTTGTTTGCTTATGGATTGTGGATAATTATGCAGTGGAAATATAAACCTGTTATGTCCTGAAGTGTCCCTAAAATAATCATGCCTTATGTTAAAGTTTTTTTATTTTTAGCTCTCTGTTCTGCCATGGCCTGATAAATGAAATTTGGCACTTGGGTCTTCATGGGTATGAATTTTAATATATTTTTGTTGAATAATATGTTAAAGCAGGAGTCTACTCAAACGAAACCAATATATATGTGGGTGTGTTCATATACTGTAATAAAGCTTAATTTGCAAAGAAGAAGAAAAAGAGACCTCCAAGTCTCATGGTCGGAGTAGCTTGTGGCAGACTATTTTGCTTGGACTAGTTTGACAAATGAAGCAAGCACTAAAAATAAGAGGTAGGAGTATTTTTACATTTGATGGTGTCATGTTGATGCTTCCCTTTTAATAAAATGTCATCCGATGTTTTATGTCTCTGCACAGACTGTTTTTGCAGTACAGAATCCAACACAAACCAAAATGGCTTGCGCCATTCTGCTATTAGAACTGAATCCTCAAATGAAAAAATGTTCGTTGCTGTTTCCGTATTCATTATCAAACTTTGACAACACAGCAATCTGTTATCATCCCCTCCTCATTTACTTCTGTATACAATTTCATCATCGTCCACATCGAATGCTGGATTGCAGAGGCATCTGAAGAGTCTACCAATACCCTGCATGAACAAACTCTTAAGTTCTTTCGTCATTAGTTGTCTACAACAGTCAATAACATCTTTTAATGATCCTAAACCAAATCACCCCATCTGTCCAAATTCTTCCTCTTTTCACTGTGATTTTGGATTCCTATTTTGCAAATTTCACATTTAACACATTCATGGAAGTCATTATAAATGAAGTCCTGCAACATACCTGAGTAAGTATGGGCGTTCGGTATGAAAGCGCTCTGGGTGAATCATCTTCGTCACTGCTATCAGAACTGCTTCCATCATCATCTGTTTCTGTATCATTTTTCCTCCCTGATGTGGCCCCATTTCGCCCTTGCTTTTCCTGATGGGCAAGGAAAAAACAAAAAATTAGGGACATCAATCAGCTTGGCCGCTATACTCCAATGAATTTTCAGTAATACACCCTATAGCTTTTTTGCTTCTTCTTTCCCAAAATCTTTTCCTTTTATGGCATAATATGTTTAATTCATTACCCCATTCAATCCCTTTTTTACTTCATTAGAAAGTGAAATCATCTGGTACCGCATTATTGCCATATTACTGACAAACTTCTTTTTCTTTTTCTATTTTCCATTAAGGCGGCTATCCTTCGTAGCCTTCCGAGAAAGCTGGAAACCAGGCTTTCTTGCTAATTTGAAAAATATAAGTAGGTGATGCTTGAACTATCAATTCAATTTCAGTTGAGCCAAGTTCATTTCCAGAGTTGATTTGCAAAGTTTATTATTGTCCTTCTGCTTACCTGGGAATAGAACATCGATGCAGCAAATAAATACTGTATATGCAGAAGATTGAACAAGAATTGCAGCAAAGCCTACAAAAAATCGTAATAAAACTGGCACCTGAAATATCTTCCCTAAACATTTTAGAGCATGAGCGCGAGCCTTAAGTTCTTCCTTCTTCCCATTATTTTCATGTAGCACCTGCAGACAAATCAAATATAATGGCAAGATAAATGATTCATGTGGAAATTATGAAACGAAATGGCGAGTATGATTATCTTGTTTTATTAATGACTATCATTTAAAGAAAGTAATAAGAAACATGGCCAAGTTCTTCAAGCCAAAGAAACAGAACCTCACCATTTGGCACACGTGTACTAGGGTTACTTCTATGTCTACTACATTCAATTTCCATAATGAGCTCATCAATGTTTCTTTGTTCAAACGAATATGTGATTCAACATCATTCTCAGGGGCACTGCCATCCATGTTAAATTGTCTTCGAATGTCTTCTTGAAGTTGTAGTAGCTGAAAAGCACCTGAATTTGTATCTCAACATAATTAGTCAAGCAAGTACGTTCCCAAGCATCAAACTTAGTTTTGGTATTATGATACCTTTTGCTGCAGTGATTTGTGACTTCCAGAAATGTCCTTTATTACGAACCCACTCAGCTAAAAATGGCACCCCAAGATAAATTGCTTTCTTTCCAAGCTCCTGAGCAGCCTGTCGCGAGTATATGTACCCAATTGTGTGCAATATGTCTACTCCAAAAGCTACATTTTCTCGAGAGATAAATCATTCACATCATCACTTAGTTTTGCACAAGTAGTTGCAAGTTTATACATTAGCATGTTGAATTTATTCCTAAAACAAATGGATTTTGGGAATTATACTTACGTAATGTATGCATTTATATGATGTGTAAAAATTGAAGGATCTCTTACTTCTTACGATTCACAGCCAAGGTAGAAACCATGTCCAAGTAGATATTTAGTGCATATTCTTATTTATGCTGCAGTTATAACTCAAATTTTTTCCTTTTTTGTGTAAATTGATCTATGGAGATATATTAGGAGTCCCATATTATCAGATACCAACTTTGATGCTTTTTCTTCTAAAGCATGTTCTTGTGCTTACGAGTTATGCAGAACTTACACCATGCTGCTTTGTTAATCAATATATACCGATAGCTGCAGACCTTCTATGAACTAATGAATTTCATACATAGCAACTCGATAAATCACCAAGTTTATAGAATATCATTCAGTAGATAATTACAATGTCCCAGGAAGAAAGAGCTCTAGAGTGGATAGAAAAGAAAGAGTATGAAAAAGAGAAATTTTACCTGCATCAGACAGCCGCCTAGCTTCAGATTTTGCATGCTGCAAGAATCCCTCTTTGTCACCTCGGACGTATTGATTAAGAAAATCCTTCAGCGTTCTTGCAAGCTTTTCTTCTCTTTCTTTCTGGACTGCCTGCATTAAATAGTTGTAAATGCTTCTAAACAGCAAGGGACCTAATAATCCAATAATCTAACTGATCCCAGCAGAAAGCCAAAGGATTCTAGGCCATGGTCATGGCTAAGTTTGAAATAAATTGGAGCAGGCACATCTCAGACCAAGAAGGATTCACGCACAGCAACATTTCTATGTCATAATGAACAATAGAGCTAATGGCCAAGAACAGGGGAGATTGCTTTGATATAAAGCTAGTAAAAGAACGTAAAATATCTAACTAGGAAACATAACAGAGCAGGAATATATCATCCCTACACCTTTGAGCATTCACCAAATATTTTTAGCAGTAACCATGACAGACTATATTCCAAAAGTGAATGCAGTACTTTGTCTGTTCGCTGGACATGTTTAGAAGCTATAACAAGGCTTGATCTGTTAGAAAAATTTTGTATTTAAACATGGTTGACAAAAATATAAATCCAGACCAAAATTATTCTTGGTCATAAATCCAATATTTCTTTTCCAGGTTAAATGTAGTAGCAGCATGATTCTAACTGTAATCCACTCAGCTGATGGAACTGCCAAGCATAAATGGAGAAGAAAACTTCATTTCTTTTAGTTTAATGTATCACCTTGAAGGAAAGACAAACACACTTCTAGATTTTGAAAGTTTAGGAAGTCATCAACGTGAATTTACTTGCCTTCAATTTATCATGCAGTTTTTCAGGATTGTTGTCCTCCCCAGCTAATTCAGTAGAAGCCATTGATGCCACAGCTAGATGTCCTATGTAATCCTCAAATGACTCACTTCCAAAAAGAAGAGCAAATACAGCTGTTGGATCAAGCATGGTTTCCCTGATGAACATAGGCATCAAATTATTTAGAGAACAGATCACCCTTGAGAAGAGGAACTACTATAGACCACAGATTTTCAAGCAAACAAAAAGTACAGGAAAGCAAAAGTAGTCTAAATCTATTTTGATATCATGAGCTCCATGTATATACTTGGCAGAATAGATAGATGTTGATTCCATATAGCAAGTTTGGAAGCGATTTTGAAAAATATACGTGTGTAATGAAAGTGATTTTAAAATTAATTTTGGTTGGAGTACATTACGTTTGGAGTGCATAAAAAAGTGTTGCCCACGAGCTATAAACCACTCTAATAGAAATATAGAAAACCTGAAATTTCTAACTTCTTTATCTAATGATTACTTGCTCCAGATGTAAGCATGAGCTTACTGGGTCATTTTTCTTTTGCTCTCTGTTGATCAAACAGAACTTGAAGGAAACTAAGTGCTAAAGAAACAACATGAAAAAATGTGCTGATGAAGGTGCACAAATGTCAGAATCTTACTTCGATACACTGTATTTTCCATTTCTATCATATGCTTCTCTTTGCACTGGATCACTTAAGATTTGGTAAGCTTCAGCAAGAACCTGCCAAAATTTAGCATCATTTTTTTCACTAACTCCGCAGAAAAGGAAGTTTATAAAGTGTCTATATATATATATGTATGCATGCACTCACGGATGCAACCCAGAATCAGATGGAGGTAAAAAAGTATCAATAATAGGATTAAATCTCACGAGTTGAAAGCAAACTCTCATTTGGTTCCATGTGGAAAATGTTATATGTAACAAAGGAACAATTGTCATTTGGCAGTACTGAAAATAAAGTAGAACAGTAGTAATTCCCAGTAGAAAGCATGAACTCACCTGGAATCTTTCGGCGGCCAGAGGGTCATTTAGATTTTTATCTGGGTGAACTTGTCTCGCCTGCACAAATTTCAACACTCGTCAGTCATTCATCCACAAACTATACCCTTGACTGATCCTGACGTCAATGTCGTTAAATGCACATAAATTAAATGTCTAAAACTAAAACCAAACAGAACAGTGAAAGAAGTTTTCAAGAATATCAGATCGTACCATCAAGAAACCGGGAAGCGTGATTTATAGCTAAAATCAAGATTTAGAAAAGAAATAAAAGAAAGAAGAAAAAAAAAAAAGCAAAGAAGGAAAATTACGAACACGACGTTATATTGAAAGTCTGCAATAGCAACATAAAAAGCCTTGGCGTTAAAACAAACATGTGTTGATCAAAAGGACCTTAACATAATAAGCCTTGCGAATCTCCTCCTCGGAAGCCGACGAACTCACACCAAGAACATCGTAATACTCAGTTTCCTTCACCATTCTTGCTTCTTCTTCTTCTTCTTCTTCTTCTTCTTCTTCTTCCTCTTTGTGGTAATCAAAATAGGCCCCAGCTTCTAGGAGTAGACAGTGAAGTAGGATGTAAAAGACATGAAAAAGAAGAGAAGACGATGGGGGAAAGTTAGCGTGTGAGAAATGCCATCCTTTCAAAATTAAAATTAAAAAAAAAAAAAGGTTGAATCGCCTTTCCAGTTCTCCAGAGCAATAAAGAAATACCTGAAACTGCTTTTTAGCGGGAGCAACACAGTTTTTTTTAACTGTCACCATGGTGGCGCTTATCATATATATGTACCCCTCTGTGTGTGTGTGTGTGTGTGTGTTTGTGTGTATTATATTATATTATATTATATATACATACACCTTTTTTGCCTTTTACGATGAATTGCTTTCCAAATGTCGGTGGGCCGGATCTCGGGCCATGTTGTTGGGCCCATTGGCTCATTTAGTCCACACTGAGTGTCTGGTTGCTCTATGTACACAAGTTCTTAGAGCTTGATTGCATGATTTACGAGAAACTCTTGTGATATTATGGGCGATTTCACTATAATTACGTCTGATAAACTATCATAAATTTAATCTAATAGTAAATTCGTGTGTAAAATATTATCTTTTTTAAATGATGCACAAACTTTCACACTAAATGTGTATAGAAATGGTTATAATATATATTAAATAAATGTATATTTAATTAATCATCATCCAATTAAGTTTAAAGAAGTTTTTACCCATCAAACTAAAAAACACATGGTGACCAAATAGTTGCAATGTGAAAATATTACCCCACAAAAAAAAGGTCCTACCGGGAGTCGAACCCAGGTCGCTGGATTCAAAGTCCAAAGTGCTAACCACTACACCATAGAACCTTTCGTTGCGGCTCTCTCCGTCAAATATATTTCTTATTATTTTTTAATTTTTCCTTTACATCTTCAACGGATGTCTTGGTAGAGGATATGATTTCTTGGAACTGAGATTTATTTGTTTTTAAGTAAGCACGTAACTCAACTAGAAATTTCTTTACTTGTGCATTCATGGGTTCCATCTGAATTGATGTTTAGATCTGAATTTTACAATGGAGCCCCTAATGAAATTTATGAATTTGTTCGAGTCAATTTTTTCAGTTTTTATTGGCTCAAGACTCTTCATTTTTTTTTTTTTTATAGTTCTATAAACGAAATTTCTAATATTAGAATGATTATATCTTAACCAATCCATAGATCTCATCATCATATACCACATCTTACAAGTTTCTCCATCTTCTAAAATCACTTTTCACATTTCTGACTTTTCAATACACCAACATTTAATTTTTAAAAAGATCTTAAATTTCACTAGCAACTAACAAACAAAATAATTACTATCTCAAAAATAACATAGTTAGGATTTAGATTTACATAATTCTTGTTTTACTATCAATAATTAGGACCCTAGTTCGCTCTTTTTATAGGAGTAATTGCGTTATTCGAACTTCCTGCTGACAAAAAATGCCATTACAAAAGTTCTTAACCCTATCAAATTTAACAAAAATCAAGAAATAAATTACGTGACGGCGTAAGTATACAAAATTTGTTAAAAGGGTATATGACACTTTATCAACTTAACCACTTCTTTAATCACCGGCAAAATAAAGAAGCCAAAACTCTGCCAGCAAAACAAAAAGGCAAATGGGCGACTGATGGAGATTTCTTGAAACAACCATATTCTCCTCAAAAATACTTAACGGCTAGTGAAATGGAACTCCTAGGTAGAACTAGACATCAAATAGGGATGAGCGCTGATCATCTCTCAACTCCTTGCCAGCGCAAAAACAAAGATCTGCTCAGGTGAAAACTGTGGAGTCCTTTCACAGTGCATCGGAAGAAGTCGGTAGGCATCCAAAACCAATCACCAATACCACCAGTCTTTCACTATTTTGCTTTTCCTCTTTTTCCATGTTTACCAAATTTTTTGCCCTTACTAGACTTGCTTTTGATGTAAGAAGTTCTATTTGCCTTATTCTGCCTCTCTTTCCGAACCTGCTCAAGATCTTTAATTTCTGAACGAACATGAGCATTGGGCACTGAATGCTGCTGCTTCTTGCCCCCTCTGTACTTTCTACCTTTCCCAGCTGCAAACACATTTTTCTTTCATAATGTTAGATAATGAATCCATCTCTTCTTTACTCTAGCCAGTAAGATTTTTAACAGAGCAAGCAAATACAAAATGTAAATCATTCCTCGGTAACAGGAATTAGATTGCATCTCTCATACTATCGTCCTGTCCCACTCTCACTTAACCCCTGCCTGTAATCTTCATATTAGTTTTCACATGTAAATTTAGAACATAATTTTAATTTTTAATCTCACCATCATCCCCATGTTGAGTTCTGTGCGCTATAGGCTGACAATTGACGAAAAGGGTGATAGTACTTGCAATCCATTTCATTGGTTTCAATTTCCTTTCATTATTCCTCAATTGCTACATTACAAAAAGCTAGCATGTAAACCAATTTAGAAGGATAATATAACTAAAGCTAACATATCCAAGTGATATGTAAACTGTGAAATATGCAGACTGATAGTGTCATAATTAGCCGTCACCCTAGATATTGGTCTAACTGAAGAGTACCTCAAAATGCATAAAACAAGAAAAAAATGTCGAAAAACAGACACCAAGGAAGTGTCACCTGGAAATGAGTTGCACTCATATGAACACAAACAAAACCCTCCATAAACAAGAAAAATTATGAGAATTTAAGACATTAATCAACAAAGAGTAACAAGATAGAACTTAAAAATTGATTGTACTACCTGACAAGCCTGTGGTTTCAGCAGCATCCCCTTCATTACTTGTTCCTTTGAGAGATACTTTCCTGTGAGACCTTTCTTTCCATTTCTTGTAGATTCCAGTTTTGCTAGCTTTGACTTTAGCACCACTCTCTGTCTTTATCTGCGCATCCATTGGAAAAAGAAATGAAAATTTAAACACTGCATAGGTGGTAAGAAACATTCAATTCCCACCATGTAAACTGTTGGTATATAGTTTATATGATATTGTATTACGTTCAGATGCAATGAAATATATATAAAATAATTTGTGTGTGTATATATGTATACAAGTGTAAAGTTCCTTGCTACTTTCTTTCACAGATCTCGAGAATATATGTTGGACAAAATCTACCTGCCTTAGTAAGAATTTATTTATTTATCATAAAGAAGGAAAGGAGATCATCTAAAGCGGTAATCACGGTAAAGACATGCCAAGCAAAAAGATACCTTTCCACTGGCTGTAACACGTTCACCATTATTCAACTTGATGTACTTTTTACTTCTCTGCATCAGATATGCCCGTGAGTTTCAAAGCAGAATGAAAAGAATGCAGAAAATAGTAAAAACTTAACATTGAACCTTTTGAGTACCTTATCCCAGTGGTAAAAAGACTTCTGTTTCTGCATTCCTGAACTATCATCTGCAACCAGATCTAAAACAGCAGCTTCTAACCTACATCTCAATAATGTTATTCAATGCCCAACAGAGGAAAAATGTACTCAACACTTCTCAGTAATTTATCTGGTGCCCAACAAAGGAAACTCAATCATAATGAATCTAAGGTCAAACAAGTTGAAGTTTTCAGATCATTCTCATTCTTGATAGACTAATAAAGTGAAATCTTCAGCTGCTGCGCCAGCAAATGGCAATCCATGGACACACAAGTATACAGACATATAAACAAATGCAGTGAGAGAAAGAGCGTAACACTCACTTTAAACAATCTGTTCCAATTGAAACTGACTAAATTTATGGCCAAAGACAAGGTTAAGGAAAAAGACTAGCATATGAAAGTCTAAATCATGACTGTTAGAATAATTTCCAATAAGAATCTGTTATATGACAGTTTTGAAACAATTCACAATAAGAATCTGTTATAGCATAACAGAAAAACTTTCTTTTTTCTGATGTGAAACCTACTCCTTTACTGCAGATAGATGTCAGACACAGATGAGTCCAAGAGCTTTATGGCATGTCACAACTTAAAGCTTGCAAGTAATCTAGATCCCAAATTCTTAATAGAGATGCTGACGATTTTACCCCAGATGATAAAGGACAAGATAAATATCTCTCTGCCACATTAAGACACAAAATCCATGTATGAACAAGCAAAAAATAAGAACATAAACTGTAACCATATCACATTGCACTTTATGTTAATCTCCACTGTCCCACTCAAATTCAGTTGGGATATTAAGACACCAATTAAATAATCAAAATCAACATGCAAATAAGCTCTAAAAGCCACCAAAAAGAATAAAAATAATCTTTACCTGTTTGATCCAAAGCCCTGGTTACTTCTTACTGAGAGGCCAGCCTCTGTATGCTGAATCAACATCATAACAACAAAACAAATTCAGAATCATCCACTTAAACTATTTTTAGATATTGGTATGTATTATTGGCCACTTGCAATAAAGATTGCAGATATTTTGTGATACTTCAATTATCAATCTAAATTAGATAAGTTAATGCACCTGATTTGTTGGCACAGAACTTATATAGTACTCCTCATCCTTGAAGCTTTTTGCCTTTCTTTTAGAACCACTTAATCCTGAAATTAGTAGAAAAGGCATCAACTAAAAATTAAAGAAAGAAACATAAATTTTTTTTGAAATATAAAAGAAACAGAAAAATAGCTATAATATGACAAATTACATCACCATAGCACCAAGAAAACAGCTTTTTTTTCACCATTGCACAATCGAAGAATATGATTGTGGAGGAGGCTCATGCGATGGTGAATGGCTATGGTGAATGGAAGATTGGAATGGTTGGTGACTGTGACCAGAAACCTGAATGATTGGGAGATTGAAGAATATAAGGCACTGGTTTATCTTTTATCCACTGAGCATTTGGAGGACAGCAAATATCAGCTTGTGTGGAAATTGAAAAAAACAGGGGGAGTTCACTGTTAAGTCTTTCTACAACCTCCTAAAGGGGAGAGATTGCCCGGGGGGGAGGGGAAGCAGATATGGAAGGGGTCGTACATTTGCTAATGGCTGTTATCTATGTAAAGAGGCGGCTGAGTCGTCCAACCACATTCTTCTTTGGTGTCCAGTGGTTTATGACATGTGGACCATAATTTATGGGTTGTTGGGGATTAAATGGGTCATAGCGGGATCGGTAAGGGATGAGCTTAGGGCTTGCGAAGGTATATGTAAAAAGAAAAAATTTGTAAACCTTATTCCTTTAATTATTTTTTGGGTAGCCTGGAAAGAAAGAAACAGAAGAGCGTTTAAGGAAATAGAGAGTTAGATATCTAAAGTTAGGGATAGATGGATACACTATTTTAGCTATTTGTTTTTGGATCATAACATTTATAGGATGAAAGAATTTGGGAATGTCCAATATATACTTACTGAGATGTAAATATTTATAAATGAGTAGCATTCCCTTAGTGCCATATTATTAATATACTGTATATAATTTTTATTTAAAAAAAAAACACCAAGAAAACAGCTAAATAGAATATGGTTAGAAAATATCAAGAAAGTGAGATAGAAAAGGTGCAGTCTGTGCACTCAAACACGTGCATGTTGAGTTCCAAACAAAAGAAAACAATTTGAATAACAATAACAAACCTTTTCTCTCCTTCTCCATAGAAGCAGCAACCACAGGTTCATCTTCCTACAGGTATCAAAAATCACAGCAATCAACCACCATAGAACTTTAATAAGAAAATAAAAAGTTGATTCCAGATATTCTATATTTATTGTCCGTCTATGTAAAGCAAGAATACAAAGAGCAAGCCCAAAATTCGAAGCTGGAGAACTATATTAGCCAAAGATGCAATGTGCTCCAACCTGCACATATGCCAACAACATGCATGATAAAAATACCAGGCAATCCAAAACAGCGACATGAAAAAACAAATTACTTAAACTAATCAACCAGCCTCTTTACAATATCCAAATAGAAAGGTATCACCAGGCAATCCTATCACTGTACCACTCTGCATTTGGAAAACCAAAACCTTCCAATTCTCACCTATACATGCTTTTTTTTTTTAAGGAAAATATGAAATATTACAAACAAGGTGTCAAGGTGGTGTCACCAAGCCACAAAAGGAGAAAAGTTACAACCCAGTGAAAACATATACATAGCACGAATCCCAAATTCTAAACAATAGCAAGAGGAGGACCTTTAAACAAAAACCAGAGAGTTTGAAGCCAAGAGTCTCCAACTCTGGAATAAGAAAAACCATCCTCCTCAAAATCTTTACAATTCTTCTCCTTCCTAATAACCCACGAGGTAGCCTAGAGGATAAGAGAGTTTACGCGGATGCTTGTTTGCCCTGTATGGTATCTTGAAGATAGATTTAATCATCCATCTTTCAGCAAAACAAGAGCATTATTACCTAGTCTTGTTACACTTAAACATGATGGCATCCAACAGGCACAAAATATGCAAGCAATCTCTAAAATTCATTCAAAGATCTTTGAACAAATTGTTACATCCTAGGACTTGAAATTGAAACAGAATGCAATCTTCCTAAGGAGATGACCACGCTGAAATAAGGCAAGCAAAAACAAACTCTTACGCAAACAAGTATTGCCGCCTTATGTTACATATTTACCCTTACAACATAATGTCATCCAACAATCACATATTCATTATAAGATCTCCGAACTAGTTTCTCATCCTAATGCTGAACCATGATGTTGTTACCCAGAGAAGATAAACATGGCCGTACAAACAAGCGAAAATGAAAAAGAACACTACTGGGAATACAAGCTTGCTTTTTCTCTTATGTATAAGCTAACAACATGATAGCATCCTACAATCACAAAATATACCAGAAGCCTCTCACTCCCCTACTCCCTCCCTTTCCCCTCCCTCTCTCTCAAATTCATTCAAAGAACTCTTGAATCAGTTCTGCAATTTAAGACTTGAAACATAATACCTTTACCCTGAGTAAATGACAATCTGATATACAGCAGGCAGAAACAAACTACTTTTAACTAAGAATCTCATAACAAGATAAAAAAAGATGGCTTTTCTAAAAAAAAGAAAGTACCACATAAAGAATGGATCTAACACAAAGCCCCATTCCCTTGTCACATTTACCTTTTCCACATGATTGTTAGAGCGCTGTCGATGTACCAAATTAATGATCTCCTCATGAATCGCTCTTTTTTTCTTCATCACATCGACCCACTGGGAAGACGGACCCTGCATGGCAGCCATATACTAAGTTAGAACTGGATAATAAGGCACACAAATTTCTCATTTAACTCTAAAAATTAAAAAAAAAAGGTGCATCATATAATAACATACAGGTAACAGATATACAACCACAGGACTGACACACACAGATTAGACGGCAGCAAATATCAGCAAATGAAAAGAAGGTAAAAGCCCCCTTAGGAAACCACAAAATCACCAAAACTCACATCCATTTCAATTAAGTTCCAGAACATATGAACAGCTATGTTTAAATATACAATTGGAACGATAAAAACACTCCTGTGAAATTTCAGAGTGAGAGCAAGGGTGACAATGAAATGTACTTTAGGACCATTACAAAACCCACATGTAAAATTGCTTTGAAGGGTAATAACTATTACAACAAAGCTCAGCATCAAGAGTTTATGCCTTAGAAAATGAGATAAGACTTATAAAATCAACTAGCACTTCCCTTGACCAGGCCACTATGGTGAGTTTGGGAAATAAAGACTGTCTTTCTGATGCTCTCAGGAAAATGCGCTACAAGAGAAAGAGATTCATCTGATCATCATCATAATAATAGGAGCAGAAAAAATGAAATTGAGAAAAGAATGGAAAATCATGTTTAATCTCAAAGGATCTCTTAACTTTTCCTTCCAATTTGGTCAAGTCTACCCTTCCTAAAGAAATCACGGGCTCCTCTTCTAAAACTTCATCTACCCATCTAACTATGGCCCTTTAATTCTAACTGATAAATCTCCCCTTTCTAGCAAAGGAAGTTCACAATGGAAGCAAAGAGAATCATGTTTTTGCCGCAATTAATTACTGTCTTTGTGCAACCATTTTGCATAGACCGATGCATGGTCTATGAACCATCATAACGCAGAAGAGGAATGCTTCGCACAGGTGTCAATCCATCTGAACTAAAACTTGCAAGTTTAAGTTGAAGAATTAAGGATCCATTACATTTGCGAAGCATTTGATATGTCTGTTTATCAGCATTCAGTGTTTAAAGTCACAGTAGATTATAACTTCAATTTAGTTACAAATTACAAAATATACCAAGAAAAAACACGTAGCAGAACAACTTGATTCCAGCCTCTAGAATGACAAGTAACAAAAAGCATACATGGATAAATAATATGAACAAGAAATCATCTTGATCATCTCCTTTCGGGAAAGCCAAAAAACAAAAAAAAAAGGTAATATTCATCAATAAAAAAGAAAAATCAATGATGACAATCACTAGCATGTACGCCAAACATAGAAGTTCAATAAATACTGAAAAAAAAATCTGCATACAGAAATAGAAAAGACAAAAATACACGTGCAAACAAATAAAGAAGGTTAAGAAATGGAGTCACCTTCTGATGCTTTAACTTGGCAGCTTCACCTTCTGCTTCCAGAATGGTCTGCTTCGGCCTAGAATACATCAGCCATCATTTAGTTAAATTTTGCACCTTTACCATCAAGAACTCAAACAAACCCGAGATAGGATTTGTTGAAAAAGCATTATTTTTCTCATCAGAAATGGGAGGAAGCGTTGAGGACTCACCTGAATGTTTTTAAGCGCTCAGAGAATGCCATTGCCATCAATTCACCACCTGCTAGAACATTTTTAAATATTGGATGCAACCCTTCTTGGGGTAAATCCTTTGACCTTTTAATTGATTCTCTTGAAGGCAAGGGTTTTGTTTTTGAATATAATCGAAAAGCATTTGTACATGTTTTCTGAAGAGAAGTTAGTTCTGCAGATGAATCAATAATTTCTCGAACTCTGTCAGAAACAAGATCAATAATTGCCTGTGGCAAACGCCCATAAACAGTTTCTCCATTTGCAATTGCTCTATCTATTTTATTCATTACTCCATCCATGTCCTGCAAAACCTCCGCTTCGGAGGGAGCAGGTCTGATTGGTTTAGAAAGAAACAAATGAAGATCCAAGAGATATGGCATGTCCTCCGACGTGACAAAAGAAAATGCTGTACCAGTTCGGCCTGCCCTGGCAGCTCGTCCTACACGATGGACAAAAATTTTAGGTTTTGGAGGGAAGTCCCAGTTGATAACATTATCAAGTAAAGGTATGTCAATGCCCCTGGCCGCAACATCTGTCACAATTAATAACATGGTCTTTCTGCTCCTGAACCTTGATATATGAATCTTGCGAGCATCTTGATCCATATCACCATAACATACAGAAGGCTCGATGCCCTCTTCCTTAAATAATGTATTAAGGAACTCCACATGATGTTTGGTGGAAACGAATATCAATGTTTGCTGATCAGAACTGATATGATCTCTTATCAAATAAAGCAATGCTGTATGTTTTTCTTCCTGGCGTAAAGAGAAAAAGTTAAGTTTCAAATCAGGGCTAATCTTGGTTTCCAAATCTAGCCTCACAAGCTGCGGATCACGCAAACCAGCCTTCGCAAATTCAGCAAGTGCACTAGGTAAAGTGGCACTAAAAAGTAAAGTCTGACGGTTTTCACTCAACTGAGCAAGGATTTTATGCAGCTGTTCCGCAAAACCCATGCCAAAGAGACTATCTGCCTCATCAAAAACCACATATTCAACTGAACGAAGTGTCATGTCCTCCACTTCAGACAAATGATGCATGAGCCTCCCAGGAGTGGCAATAATGATATCAGGGTTCAGCGCTAATTCTTCAAACTGGTTTTCCATGCTATCGCCACCAACCAGTAAACTAATACGGAGATCTAAAGCAAAGACAAAAATAATGACATTTCATCATTGTAGTTGATCTTAATGGAATCTCATCCTCATCAACTATTAACCCTTTTCAAGAGAGTGAAAAAAAGAGAAAATAGTACTATAAACAAGGCACCAAGGGAGCACCCATAAACAAGATAGCCTTTACAAACTAACAGATAAAAAAGCATCTATAGAGGTTCCCCTAAATCCTCTCCAGAGTTATCAGGATTGCTGTTAAACAAAATACTCAAAACCAGGAACCAGTAATCTCTAATGATGGCTGACAAAATAAGGGAAACGGGCTTCTTCCTGGACGTACAGGCCGTGATACCATCCCATTCCCATAGTTCATCCAAAGTAAAACCAATGATGGTCAACAGATTCACTCTCCTGCAAGCACATAGGGCACACATTGACAATGAAACTACCTTATTTTGTCAAATTATCACAAGTACGGATTTCTAACCCAAGCAGTTTCCAAGCAAGGAAAGCAATGCAGGGGATGCTTTGTTTCTTCCAATTTTGCTTCCAAGGGAATCTAAAGGCAACCTCAGCTTGGGAAAGAAGGTTAAGGTAAAAGAAGCTTACAAGGACAAAAAGAAAAACAGTTCTAGTGCATTTAACCTATTACCACTATCATGTAAAAAGAGTAAGCAACAGCATATAATACCGAAGGAAATCACAATATTGAAACGAATTAGCACAGGACAGCATGAAATCCAGAAAACTAGGATTACCCTGTTCGAGAGACCTGATCAATCATGTGCTTTATTTCCTAATTATAGCTTACATTACCCTGATAACCTCAGGAGGAATACCCCATCTACCACCACAGAGACTAAGGTCACAAAATCCTTTTGTTTTTTCCTTGATCATAAAAAGGATTTATATTTTATATTTTGGTCACAAAATCCTTTTTATGAGCTATACCACTTGGACTGTCTAATGTCCCAAGTATCTTCACTCGCTTCATGAATCAAGTTTTCAAAACTTTCAATGAGATTTTTCTTGTTCTCTATTTTGATGATATTCTTATCTTTAGTACGTCTAAGGAGGAACACATCTTTCATTTACAACAAATTATGAGAGTACTTCGCCAAGAAAAACTTTATATTAACATGAAAAAATATGCATTCATGACAACCAGTGTTGTGTTACTGGGATTTGTTGTATCTTCCAGAGGAGTAAAAGGTGACCAGAAAAGGTTAAAGCTATCCAAGAATAATCAACTCCAAAGACCCTACATGAAGTGCAAAGCTTCCACAGGTTGGCACCTTTCTGCAGAAGGTTTATTGAAGGCTTTAGTACTATAGTGATACCCATTACAAAATGCATGAAGAATGTGAAATTTGTTTGGACCGAAACGTCTAGAGCTTCTAAGATCATCAAGATGAAATTGACAAAAGCACCAATATTACAACATCTAGACTTCTCCAATGTATTTGAAGTGGCTTGTAATGTGTCTCAACTAGGTATTGGTGGTGTACTTAGTCAGGAAAGACATCTAATAGCCTATTTTGGTGAGAAGCTTAATGATGCAAAATAGAGGTATACCACATACGATAAAGTATCTCATACTATCACCCGAGCACTTCAAGACTGGCGTTATTATTTAGTCCTGAAAGAATTTGTCCTTTACTCTGACCTCAAGAAGCTAAACACTGTCATGCATGCTACATTGTGCGATTTCAACTTGACAGAGCAGAGTTTTCCCCTTCTTCCCCCTCCCCCACCAGGGGGAGAATAGATGACGCATAGCCATGGTAAGATTTTATTTATTATTGGAGTATTTTTAGTTTATTATTTAAGTCTTATTAGAGTTAGGAGTTTATTTTACTAGTATTATTTTATATTTGTATTACGATTAGTGTTCTTAATTCTATTAGATTACTATCCCTAGTATAATTCTAGTTAGGAAAAGTTACTTAAAGGTTACTATAAATAGCTTTGTAATTTCATTAATTAATCATCCATGTATTCAACAATAATTTTTGAGAATTTCTCATAATTGATAGTGTGATTCAATCAACACTTAGATGTGATGTCTAAGAACCTTAGGTGTGATTTATAGGTTTTCTCTGCAATTCTTAAAAGGCAAAATAACCCTAAATTGTCCCACATCAACACAAAACAGTTTATGCAAATGTGTAGAAGGCGTGTGCCTATGCCTTCAACTTTCTGACATCAAATTAAGTAAAAGGAACCTTGCACACGACAAAAGGTTATCCCACAAAGAAATCAGACACTTCCTTCATCAAAATAGGAAACGTTCAATGTAGAAACACAAAGAGCCTAATCTCTTCAGCTGTTTACTAAGTCCATTGGACTTATATTCCACTAGGTTCTCGCTAAATCAACTAATAAACTCCAATGGCCAGAGTTCCCATCAGAGGACTCTAATTGGAAGAAAAGAAAATTATCAAAGACGCCCTACAACCTCGACATAGACCTAATACACTCGGTACTTATCTCAAAAGAAGTTTTTAACTCGGCTCTCAAAAGAAACCCTTAGAACAACAACAAAGCAAGTCAACCAAAAATAAATAAATAAACAAACAAAATAAAATAGACACTCCACGATAACGAACCTGTGAACCTTCCCAACTCCTTGGTGAACTTCAAGGTTTGTAAAGCCAAATCTCGCGTGGGAGACAAAATGAGTGCCCTTACGCCTCCTTGGGAAATGTGCTGCTTGAGCTTCTCGAGCATAGGGACAAGGAAGGCAGCCGTTTTACCGGAACCAGTACGGGCCATGGCAACGACATCCGCCCCAGCCAAAATAAGGGGCATTGTCTTCCGCTGAATGGGGGTTGGTACTCTGTAACCTTTCCGCTTGATTCCTTTGAAGATATTGGCACTCAGGTTCATGGACTCGAAACCCCCTGATTTCGCTTTCTTCTTCTGTTTCTCCTTCCGCTTTAGCTCCGATTTGGAGCTCACAAGGAGCCTCCGTTCTCCACCCATAGGGAAGGTAAGTTCGACAATTTCTTCTCAACTTTGTCTTTGCTTTGCAGGAAACCTTTTTCTCGCAAGACAAACAGAAAACGGAGGCACTCGTCGGCCGAGAAAGAACGAAGGCTTCTTCCTACCTCAAGAGAAGCCAAAACCCTTCCGACCTCGGGGCTTTGCACTTCGGCCTGACAAGTAAACAAGTAAATAATATTATATATATATATATATATACACACACACGCACACACACACAGAGGCTTATATATTTTAATAGACACGTTTAATTCTATTATTTAACTATGATGGCAATTTTAATTAAATAATTAATGTAATTTCTAAATCAATAATTTTAATTCAAATATAATTAACTAGATAATTAACAAAATTTGCAATTAGATCATTTTAATTTCCGTTGACCTTTTAAGGTAATTAAATAATTAGTAAAATTACCGTAAATAAATTATTTATTCGACAATATGATAATTATAACATGTATGTTTTTTATTTATATCTAATAAATTTTAATTATACGCATTAATTATAATGAAATTTTAAATTAAATTGCTAATATTATTTATTATTTTTAAATTATAATAAGTCAATTGAATTTTTAACCAAACATTTATGGTGTTAGTAGAATTTCGCCCTATTTACCTATTTTTTTTATTTTAAAAAAATCTTATAAACTATTTAAATAATTAAAATTTAATTATTTAGAGTGAAATTAAAAATTTATTAATTATTTGTATAGCAGAGAGTAAATCATTAAATTCATACATCTTTTTAGTATAAAAAGATGTTAATTCATACATATTTTATTATGTCAAATATTCTATTAATAATAATATTAATAACATGATAATACGAAGATAATGATTATAATAATACTATTAAAATAACAATTATAATTATTTATTTGCATTCGTCTTTTAATTAATTTTTGATTACTAAATTAAGTAAAATTGGGATATGATACTTGGTCACACATGGAGTTCTATAGGTAACAAAATAAAAAAAAAAATATATATATATATATACAGATATATACATATATGTATATTATTAGAAAAACAACCTCAATTTACATTATTGTATTTAAATTAAGGGAAATGTATATATTCTATATAAAAACTATATATTAGTATATAATATTCACTCTGGCTTAAAATATCTTTGGCAATCTCTAGCATCTCTCGAAATACCAGACAATCCTCGCCTTGAAAACCCAGCGCAGTACAAGCCATTCTCTCCTTTCCAATGATTAGGGAACATCCTTTTGGGCATTCCATTTTCCCCAAAAAGGTCTCCATCGTTCTAAAATGTAGTTTAAACACTAATTAATGGTTAGATCAAGGAGTAATTAAGTAATGATTAATTAGTAATTAACGTACCTTAAGCCAGCTTTTTACTGCGCTTTTATACCCTGTGGCGAAGACGATGGCATCAAAAAAGAGAAGGTTCTCTTCGTTCATGAATTCAACCCTGTTTCCTTCTACACGTTTTATGGATGGCAGAACCTGAAAATTTTTTACAGTATAATCAATCAATGTACATACATATATATATATATATATAAAACTGTTATTTTATACGAATTGAAATTTGGAAACAAGAAGAAAGAAGTAATGAGTAGATACATCGATTTCACCAGTCTTGATCTTTTGAAGACAGCCGACGTCGATTGTGGGGCTCCGACCACCTGCTGCTCTGATATAAAACGGGCCTTTGCCGGGTCTCCGGAGTCCATACGGAGAGAGACTTCCATACTTGACTTTAGAAGAGGCCAAGCATATCTTGTCAACTAGTTTGCACGGTAAGAATTTCAGCAATACCATTCCCATGTGCACTATATCCTTTGAAAGTATGTGTACCTGCACAAACATATACGTATATATTCTCCATTATACACACACGTATATACACAATAGGGTAAATATGGTCTGCGGATGTAATTAACTTACAGGGCTACGAATAGAAATGGAAGTAACAGCACCCCAATTAGATAAATCATAAGCAATCTCCATTCCAGAATTTCCACTGCCGACAACCAACACATGTTTTCCAGCAAACCTTTCCCCATTTACGTATCTGCTAGAATGCATGTATTCTCCTCCGAAACTCTCAAGTCCAGCCACCTCAGGAATCAACGGTTCATCGTTTTCGCCAGTTGCAACCACAAGAAACTGAGCTTTATACACTTCCTGCACATTGCTCACCATGTTGTTAACCAACACATTCCACAACCCTCGCTTCTCGTCGTAATCTGCGTATTCAAGGGATCGAAGCAGTCGAGCACTAACCCCGAAATGCTTTACGTATTTGTCGAGGTACCGAACGAAATCATCCTTGGGAACGTACGTGGGTGTACAATAGGGAAAATGCATGTGAGGAAGATGACAGAATTCCTTGGCCAGATGCAACTTAAGGCGATCGTAAGCTCTCTTTTTCCAAAGAGATGCGTAACAATCCTCCCTATCCAACAACACATTAGGGATGTGGAGTTTATTCAGGCAAGCAGAAGTTGCTAAGCCGGCGGGGCCTGCTCCCACAATCAAAACCACCGTTTCTTCAATGTCTCTCACCATCTCATCCGCCATTCTTGATTATATCTAGCACAAACTGACCAAGTATATTATTGATTAACCCAAAAAAAATAAACTAGACACGATAAATCGATCTGATGAATTCAGATTGGTTTAAAGAATATTTTTTCACAAAAAAAGCATGGAATTCACCGACACCTTCACACTTTATTTAAAATTGTGGATTTGCAAATGAATTCCATGTTTTTCTGTGAGTTTCATTTGGTAGTAGGGCAACCTTTATATATACAGTGTTACTCAAGACTCTTATTATGCATGTTTCCAGCAATAGCATATTGGGATTCTATAAATAATATAACAAAATATTTGATGGGTTGTATAAGTAACTGAATTTCCACTACTTCATTGTCCTTCACTCATTTTGCTAACAGTAGTACGATAGTTATGTACGTCTAAACGTATTGTCATTACCAACCTCGGACACTATTTTACACACGTACATTTAAAAACAATCATTAAATAAGAAATTTTGTTTAAAGAACATTAATATATTTGTTAATTAGACAATGCACGCGTATTAATCATAATATAATAAAAATATCTTCAAACAAAAATACACGTAAGAGTATAATATGATTCGAATTCATGATTTTTTTTAAAAAATACTGTACTGATTAAGAAATTAACTAGTAAATAGTAAACGAGAAATTCCGCCAGTAATCAAGAAAAGTTAATTTTGAATAGGTAAAGTTCCATCTCTATAGCTTCAAAACTCTATACCGTAATGCTATACAAATGAAAATTCATCCTATAAGAATGTTTTTTTTAGCCAATTTTCTTATGATGTATGGTTTTGGATTCAATTTATTTTTTAAAAAAATTTATACATATATAAATAAGTTTATAAGATATGACTGTTGATCGAGCGCCCTACGTGGTAGAACTTTTTCAAATTGCACTTTAACTCCTAATTTTTAATTTTTCTTTTAAAAATACTGTCAGAACTTAAATTTTTAATATTTTTCTTCAAAATTACTTTAAATTTCATACTCCATCAATTTTATTTCAGTTTTTACTTTAAATTAAAATTAAAAATTAAAAAATTATATTTATAAATAAATCTTAAATTATATTAAAATTAAATTTAGGATATTACCATATATGTTAGTAAATTTATAAGATATGACTAATCAATCTTTAAAAAAAAATGTCTATAATAGAAACCGTGTAGAACAATTATAAGAAAATAAGGGTAAACATAATTTTCTTTACCTCCTATATAATATATATATATATGTATGTATAGAGGAAAAAGAAAAAGGAGTAAACATAATTTTAGTACTTTAGAGATGTGCATTCTTGTCTAAATTGGAGACAGATTCCACACGTCCTCAATACGCAAAAGAAGAAATTAGGTTTTCTTCTTTTTCTTTTTTTCTTTTATAAAAATGGGTAATAGGAAACAAACAGGAAGAACGTATGGACTCCCCTCGATTCAAACAAAGCACGTGTATTTATAATATTTATTCTCGACGTGAACGACTTCAGAGCTTAGTCTTTGCCGTCCTTTGATTATGATATTGATTTGATGTATAAATTATGTAATGAAGTTTCATTTATTTTGATTTTTAAAATCATTGACCCAAAAAGACGAGAACTTTCGATAAGAAAAAGTCTAATCCCATTGGTTATATTCCAGTGGATGATACCAGGCCGGCCATTGTCATCGCCATTTTTCACATTCCCCTCTCTGCAAACTGCGGCATCAGAGTAAGAAAAACTCTCTAAAGCAATGGATAGAGAACAGGAGGAGATGCAGCTTCTTGGGCTGTTTGGCATATACAAAGAGGCTAACAAGCTGATCTTCACATGGAGGAAAATCTTCAGCAAGATAGCTCTGACCTTGATTCTCCCTCTCTCCTTCATCTTCCTCGCTCACATGGAAGTATCCCACGTACTCTTCTCCAAAATCTGGCACTACGAGATTGCTCTTGACCGCACCCAAGCTGGAACCCCCAAGTACAACAAACTCTCTGATCTCGTCTCCTCCGAATGGACATATTTTTGGCTCTTTAAAGCTGCCTACTTCACCTTCTTCCTCATTCTCTCTCTCCTCTCTACAGCAGCCGTCGTTTACACCGTCGCCTCTATCTACACAGGTCGAGAATTGACCTTCATGAAAGTCATGAGCGTGGTCCCCAAGGTCTGGAAAAGACTCATGGTCACCTTCTTGTGCATCTTCGTTGCCTTCTTTGTCTACAACGCTGCTTCCCTTCACCGTCTTTATTGTGCTGGCGCTTTCTACCCCGCCTACCAGCAAGGCTGCTGCAATGACCCTGGTGGCTCTGGTTGGGGTGTTGTATCTGGTGGGTTTGGTGTACTTGACAATAATCTGGCATTTGGCCAGCGTGGTGTCTGTCCTGGAAGACTTGTGTGGTTTTGGGGCTATGATCAAAAGCAAGCAGCTGATCAAAGGCAAGATATGGATTGCCATAGTTATATTCTTGAAGCTCAACGTGTCGTTGATTGTAATCCAAGTGGTGTTTCAGAGGTTAGTGGTGCATGGATGGTCTGTGAGCATGGTGAACAGAGTTTCGTATGGGATTATTTGCTTCTTGTTGCTTTGCAATTTGATACTGTTTGGACTGGTAATCCAAACTGTGATTTACTTCGTCTGCAAGTCTTATCATCACGAGAACATCGACAAGTCGGCTCTCTCCGATCATCTTGAAGTTTATCTGCTGGCAGAATATGTTCCTTTGAAGGCCAAGGATGTCCAGCTCGAGCAGTTTGATAATGTTTGATTTTTTTTTTTTTTTTGCTTTTTAATTTCTATTTGCTAATAATTTAAAGTGCCCTTACATTACATGTAATAACTATCTTCAAACACTCTGTGTTTTCATGAGTACTAAATTGGTTTTGTCAACTATGTGTACAAAAAAGAAGGCTTACAATAATAATTTGTATCTATTAGAATAAGTTTTATAGTCTACGAGGACTGGTTATAATTGGCAACCTACCAAATATGACTTTACAAACATCAGAAACTGTTGGAAAAAATCTCTCAGTCGGTCAAGCAAGGCTGACTTACTCAAATAGCTCATTTGATTCAATGGATTTGGTTCTTTCATGTGCTCTTATCACTTCTCTCTTTCTCTTTCCTGCATTGGCTATTTCATTTTGATTCTTTTCATATATTTTCTTGATTAAGACCAACATACGTACCAGATCTTGAATCCTTTTTTTTTCTTTTCTTTTCTTTTCAAATTTATCAGTCTTGTTTTTGTTTTGTACTGTATCATCCCTCGTCATAACTTATCTTTCTCTTTTTCCATTGGAGGTAATCAACTTCGTCATACTTGACCAGCCTTTGTTTGCATTTGATATTATTGTATGAGTTCTTCTCTGACCTTTCGTTGATTATTCTGTGTGTTTGCGTGCTGTGCTCTATTGAGTCTCTCTAATAGGAGTGTAGGAAACTTTCGCTGACTGAAGCAAATTGTTCCTTAATTTCTTGTGTCAAAAGAAAACGGCGCTCCTATTGAAAATATGTGTATCAAAATAGAGGTTTCTTTGATTCATAGTTTTGAATGTTAAATGTTCTTAACATTCTTGTATAAAAGTAAATGTCTTGATTTATTTTGTTAAAATAAAAATATTTGATCTTTAAAAATTAATGTTCTTTGGCACCAAGATAGATGCTTTTTGAAAAAAAAAAAAAGAAATTGTTTCGGTCCTTCGCGTTGTTCCCCGGAAACTTTTTTGCAGTCGAGAAATATGGGTACTTCGGTATATGGTATCAAAAGTTTAAATTTCTTTTTGTTTAGTGCGAAATAATAGTTTTTTTAGTGTTTTTTAGTGGAAGTATTTATCTTTAGAATTAAGAATAGATTAATTTATTATGTGAATCGAGATATCATTCGATTTATTATTATAAAGAACGGTTTGAGTTTTTTGTTCGGAAAGTGTTCAATTATTTACACTTTTACATATATAGAGAAATAAATTTACGGGTTTAAGTCTGATTAATCTTATTAATTCCGATATAAAATATAATTAAATCGAAAAATTATGGAATTCAATATAAATTATGGAGCTCCATCCTTATTTGGCAGCTTATTAACTAAAGCTGACAATACTAGAAAAGAAAACAGTAACTATAAGATTGAAATGCCAAAAAAAAAATCAATCTTCAATAGAAACTACAACAACGATGTAATTAACTACTTGATTAATAAGGATGAATTTACATAATTCGCTTGCAAATTTCTTCACGTTTCAATGGGTGCATGCATGTAATTTGTTTGCAAACATCCTGCGATGAGATCAAAGATCGATAGATGTCATATATGAATGCAATTTTAAGAAAAAGAATAATGAGAAATTAACTTAGAACGTACTTTTCCGACATCCTGTAATTATCAAAAGAAATTGCTTAGAACGATTTCATCCTGAACACATGGCTGTGTGAAGTTGTTCGTGTTTCGTCACGACGAAGGTGACAGAGAGCGGTGGTGTGTGCTTGTGGACAGCTATTAGAAACTAGCAGCTGCAGCATTCTAACGCGGACTATGAAGTTTTATATTTCAATGATGAAGTTCGAATAAGTTTATAAAAGAGTTTAAAAAATTTTTAATATAAATATTTAATCTATGGTAAGAATGATAATAATTAATTAAAAATAATATAGTTTTATAATTTAATTTGATTTTTTTTTATTTTTAAAATTTTGATTTATTTTTTCATTTAAATTTCTAATTTTCTCTCTCTCTCTCTTTATTATCGAAAATTCTTTTTCTTTCTTGACACATTGATTCACTTTTTTCAATACCATGATTTTCTTTCTCTATATAAATTGAATTAATTTATTTATATATAAAACATGTAAATTATAATTATTTTATATATATGTATAATAATTAATATATATTAATTTAATTTAAATAAAATAGATATTTCTGAACCCATGTATATGTTTATATTGATATTGACTTTTTTTTTCTTCATTCTAATTATAAAAAAAAAAAAAACACAATTTGTACTAAAATAAAGATTCCATAAGAATCACATATTTCTAAAAAGTTAAATCGCAAGCTAATTAATAATCAAAATAACATTTATTTTAATTAATTAATTAGATTATTATTTAGAGGCATGTGATTCACTCTCCCCAATGAATGCAAAATATTATATTCATCTCCAAATCCAATTGTATATAATAAAACTGTAAATCTATTTTCAAACTCTGGTTTAAAATTCGATAATCAAATACATATGTATATGCTGTATGTATATGCTGTACTCAGTTAAAATATTAATAAATTATATTGTAGTAAGTAAAATAACAAATAACAAGTTTGAAATATCAAATTTTTTGTTAAATTATTATTTCAGTTAATTACAAGCAAGATGAGATTAAAATATCCTTCCAACCACACAAGACAAGAAATTTGCCGGCTTGTGAAATTTATTAAATAATATTTGTCTACAGATGTATTTAAGTATATATTTACAAAGTGGATCTGTTGCTAAAGTTTTCGCTTAGTAGCATTATCTACATATATATGTTTACATAGTAATGGATTGATAGTGAAAAGCCAACCTACGGGCGGTATAAACTAGAGACCCCTCCCCCATAAACAGAAAGGAGGAAATTTTGAGCAGGAAAATTAATTAGTTAAGAAGAATATGGAAAGAGATCAAAGGATCTGTAAGCTGGATGCGTTTGCAGTTGTACTGGTGGCGTCTCTAGGTGTGAATATATGGTTGGTGAGTAAGGTTTTTATGGATTCTACTAGGATGATGACGATGAGTTGGAGCAGAAGAGCAGCAATGGAAGCTGAGGCTGTGGGAGCCATATCATGTTCAGGCCATGGAAGAGCATACTTGGATGGTGATGATAATGATGGGAAATCAGAACCTGTTTGCGAGTGTCACTTATGCTTTCAAGGCACTGATTGTTCTGTTCTTATTCCCAATTGTAAAGCTAACGCTGATGGGTATTTATCACTCCTGCTTTTTTCTCTGCATATACATATATATATATATCCTTTACCTATTCTTCATGATGAGAAATGAAGTTGGTTGACTTGAGTTGATAACAATGGGCAGTGGGGATCCATTATTCTTAGAGCCATTCTGGGTGAAGCATGCGACAAGCAGTGCAATAGTAGTGGCAGGATGGCACAGAATGAGCTACACATACAATGATAATAGTTTCATATCAAAAGAGCTTGAAAAGCTGATACGCAAGGTTCATGCACATGTGGGAAATGCCATCACAGAAAACAGGTATATAGTGTTTGGTGCAGGCTCAACCCAACTGCTGGCTGCTGCTGTTCATGCCTTGTCTCCCACCAATTCCTCCGCCCCACCCGCTGCTGTTCTTGCTTCTGTTCCTTACTACGGGGTTTGCGCTTTTATATCCATCTCTTACTCATCAATTGTCTTTTCACTTGTAAGTGTTGTAAGCTTTGGTTACAGCTGTATGAGGCACAAGCGAAGTTGTTTAAGTCGACGGAGTTCAAGTTTGAAGGAGACGCAAGGTTGTGGAAGAACAATTCATATGCCAATAGACAAGTGATTGAGTTTGTGACTTCCCCCAACAATCCAGATGGGCTGCCAAATAAGGCAGTTGTGAATGGACCAAATGCAAAATCAATTCATGATCACGCCTATTACTGGCCACATTTTACACCAATTCCAGCTCCGGCCGATGAAAATCTCATGATTTTTACAATATCTAAGCTTACGGGTCATGCTGGAACCCGATTCGGGTAATTATTTAATTCTAAGACAACTTTGTATTGCTGTTAATTTCAAAAGTGATTTAATTAATTGGGAAATGGGTGGTGCAGATGGGCAGTGATAAAGGAGAAGTCAGTATATGAAAGAATGACAATATTTATGCAATTGAACAGCATGGGGGTTTCAAGGGATACCCAACTCAGAGCTCTCAAGCTTCTTAAAGTTGTAGTTGGAGCAAAAGGAGAAAGAGACATATTCAATTTCGGCTACAACACCATGAAAAGCAGGTGGGAGAAGCTCAAAATCACTTTCTCAACGTCCAACCGATTTACTCTTCAAAAAATTCTTCCTCAGTACTGCACTTTTTTGCGCACAATTAGAGAATCTTCACCCGGTAATTAATTTACTATATTAAGTTAAAACCAAATAGTCCCTCTAGTCTGATCTTGAGAAGCTCGTTCTTTCTGATTAATTACTTCTCCACACTAACAACTTGTACTCTTGACTGCAGCTTATGCATGGTTGAGGTGCGAGAGGAAAGAAGATAAAGATTGCAGTGCAGTCCTCAATGCAGCAAATATAATTGGCCGTGAAGGAAGCATATTTCGTGCTGAAGATCGATACGTACGCCTCAGCCTTGTAAGAAACCAAGATGATTTTGATCTACTCATACACCGACTAAATAAACTTGTTACCAAAGAAGATGGCACCAAAACTATGTGAAGAATGGAATCATCATCTTCTCAATCGATCTTCTGTGTTCAACAGATGGTCAAATAAATTATTTTGGAAGAAAGATGTGAAAATGAAACTACAACAGTAACATAATTAACTACTTCATTAATAGGGACGAACCTTGTAAAAAATTATATTGCTGCAGTTGCATAGGGCGCCTCAGATATTAGTCTGTTCATTGCTTCGCCTGTAAATTTCTTCATGTTTCTATGGATTCATGCATGTAATTGTTTGCAAACATCCTGCAATGAGATCAATAGATCAGGAGGTATATGATATGAATGCAAATTTTAAGAAAAAAATAACAAGAAATTAAACTTTCTAAGATCTATATTTAGTAAAGGGGCATCTCAAAACCTCTTCCTGTGAATCTGAAAATGAACAAACAATAATTTCCTAACGTACTACAATACCAATTCAGCTTAACTTTCTCTCAAATAATTGAGCAAATAGTGTGTCATTAAACAATAATAATCTAAAGGAATCCAAAGCAGAGTAAGACAAACAATACATTTGGGAAAATGGAAATTCATTTCAACTGGCAATCATACAAATATATTACAGTGAGATCCTCATACAACAATTGACCGTTTTGTTATTTGTCTAGATCTTGACAGATTAGATTTTATTCTCCTCTGTAACAAAATGCAAAGGAATGCTAAGATAACAGCCAAAACAAAATAAATTTCCAAGTGAGGACCCCAGAAAAATCCGGCCAACACCCGCCTGGCCTCTCTCTCATTGTTGCAGTCACAGATGCTTTTCAGTAACTTCCCATCACCAGGAGTGACTTCTGGATCAAGAATGAAATCCACAGTTGTGGCTTCAGCCCCCAACCAGATACTTGTTGTCTTCAATTTGTACCCAGGCACAGTGGCTACAACTGCAACAAAATTTGTTGGATTCCATATCAGAAATAAGTTGGGAACCAGATAACAAGAGAAGTATGGAACCAAGAGGGTCCATGTTCCTAACATTTGCCTAACTTCTTCATCCAAAAGAAAATTGAAATATTATTGCTGGTAAAAGTATCCAGTACCTTGGTATTTCCCTTCAGGTGCAAGCATACGATGATAATCAGCAAATGCTCTACCAGCTTTAACCTGTCAATCACATCGAAGACACCTAAGCATACGCTACGAAGAAAATGCAACAAGCAAAAACATCATTTAGAATTCTGATCACCCATAGATCTGACAGTTAGAAAGATTGTATTAGATGTTCCAGAGGCCGTAATTGTAAATGGACATATTATTCGACTATTATTTGTTAGCAACTTCCACTTCGTGGAACTATCTGATCAACGTGGTTTGTAGCAGACTGCCTACATATTACCAAGAGCCTAATAGAAAACAGAATAATGTATGAACATGTTCCAAATATACCGTGTAATTTATTCCTTTGATCATGATAAAACCAGGCAATGGCCTTCCACTGTCTGATGAGAAGATCCTACCATGAACTCCTGTCTGAAAAAATACAAGCCAGAACAAAATTCACGTTAGAACAATGTTGAAGACTGTTGAGTATTTTCAAGAACTTGTCACTGTCAAAAACACTTATATATGAGTGAAATTTCCTATGAATGTCATGGATCTGATTGGCGATAACTATTCACTTCTTTTTTTTATTTTTTTCTTCATAATGTGTCATTTTAGCACAACTATTGAATTGTTGAAGGGTTGACAATTCTGCTGTCAACCAAAAAAGTTTTATTTTATCCAAGTTTATGTTTTATATTATTTGGGTTTTAAGTTGTAGAAAGCTTGTTAGTGTATAATCTTGTTTTAGTATGTCTAAGGTTGCTTAAGAGAGTAACAAATATATTGTTTCTATTTTTAGCATCACAAGAGCTGTTTTAGACGGCAGATTATGCCTAATTTTTAAGGTGATGAATAAAACAGAAAAATCTAGTTTTTTGCATCAATTTTCTTTCTATTCTTATCTGTTTTCATCTGGTTTTCTCACTCGTCTTTCCAATAAGTGGTATAAGAGCTTCAAGCTCTGAGGGGCTGAGAAATAGAGTGTTTTTCCATCCATCCGTGATAGGGAAGACTATCAGCTTTAGGACTATTAGAATGAAGGCTCTTTTAATCTATCAGAGGTCGTAGAATTCGGAGAAGATCCTCCTCCCTTAAGAGCAAACCAAACAGTCACTCAAATGAAGCACCATACAGAGCAAATGGCAAAGAAATTCAAGCTTCTTTTCTTCATCCATTCAGCTATACCTAAGGCTAATTTTGTAAGAAACATGTCTTATGAGACCAGAAAGGAGGCTTGGGACAGAATTAAAGAAGAGTTCCAAGGGAGTAAAAAAACAAGGTAGATGCAGGTGCTGAATTTGAGAAGAGAATTTGAAGTGTTGAGGATGAATGACGCTAAAACAGTGAAGGAGTTCACTGACAAATTAATGAAGATTGTGAATCAAATAAGGGTGATGAGAGAGGAACTAACAGAAAAGAGAGTTGTTGAGAAAGTTTTGGCGAGCCTGGCAGAAAGATTTGAAGCAAAAATCTCTTCCCTAGAAGACTTGAAAGACTTCTCCACCACGTCTTGGCAGAGCTTGTCAATGCCTTGCAAGCTACTGAAAAAAGGAGGTATTTCAGGCAAAGTGATGCTGTGGAAGGAGCATTCTAGGCAAAAGGGAAGGCAAAACAGCATAAAAGTCAAGCCTCAATAAGAAAGATAATTGAGAGAAAAAAGGAGACAAAGAATGGGAGAAAGGAGAAAATTTTCACCATGTCCCAACTGCAAAAAAACAAACCACTAGGAGAAATATTACTGGTACACACCTGAAATTCAATGCAGGTGATGTAGGACAAATTAGGGTTAAAATGCCAGCTAAAAAAATTGAGGAAAAACCTAGATATTATACATAAGTTTTCTAGACATTACACCTAAGAAGTTTTAAGCATCACACTTAAGAATTGATTGTATTACACATAAAGAAAATTGAGAAACTCTCAAAGTATATTATTAAATACTTGAATGATCAATAATTGAAATTACAAAATTATTTCTAATAGCATATAAGTAACTTTTCCTAACTAGAAGAAACGAGGAAATAGTAATATAATAGAAATAAGAATATTAATTCTAATACAAATAGAAAATAATACTAGTACGAATAAACTCCTAACTCTAATAAAAATAAAAATTCCAAGTTACTAAGACTATAATAATATACTCCTAATAATATAAAATAAACTATTAAATAGTATAGTAGTTTTACATTTAATATAATCACAATTTCTAATTTATTTGTGAAGGCTAATGCTTGCTCATTCTGCATCAGCAGGTCATGTAAACAGTTTGGACGTGGAACAAGTACATAAAAAAAAAAAGAAATACAAGGCAAGTCAAAGGCTCAAGTGGCTGAAAATGAAGGACAACAAGAAGAGAAGCTATTCATGGCCGCATGTTAAACAATCAGCTCAAACAATCAAGCAGGGCTGATTGATAGTGAATGCAGTCAACATACACCAGAAGAAAGCTTTTTTCATAGAATGGACAGGTCATATTTTTCAATAGTCAAGATAGGCAATGAAGAGTACTTGGAGGTGGAAGGAACTGGAGATGTAATCTTGACAACTCCAGCTATGAAAACCATTTCTGATGTGCTATTAGTTCTTAAACTTGACCAAAACTTATTTGAGTGTTGACCAAATGATTGAAAAAAGATATTCCTTGATGTTCAAGAACAAACCACACTCTATAGTAGATCCTAGTGGGGGTGAACTGTCTGTGGTTGAAATGGAGAATGAGCTTTTGTTCGCATTGTAATCATGTTTGTGCAAATGTTGATTTGTAATCATGTTTTTTGAATGACTTGCCTAAAGTTTGTTTGTGAAGTGTGTGAGCTTGAGAAGCAAAGCAAGCAAACTTTCCCAGAAAATAAAGCTTGGGTATCTGTTCAGATGCAAGCCATGAAGAGGCTGGAGCTAATCCATACAGAATGCATTGTCCTATGCGTATCTGTTCTTTAAGCGGAAACAAGGAGGAGATATTTGTTGAATAACCACCTGGATTCGAGAGTAGAGAAGCAAAGGTGAAATATGTTTGTTGAAGAAGGCCTTGTATAACTAGAAACAGGCTCCAAGAGCCTGGCAAAGCAGATGATGAATATTTTGTAGAGTTGGGATTTAACAAGGGCTTAAGTGAAGCTACACTTTATGTGCAACACGACGTAAATGATATTTTGATTGTTTCACTCTATGTGGATGATTTTATTGTGACCGGGACAAAACAGAATTAGTGGACAGATTCAAGAAAGATGTGAAGACAAAACTCGAAATGACAGATTCAGGGGAAATGTCCTATTTCCTTGGAATGGAAGTACCTATATGTGAGAATGGAGTGTTTTTCAAACAAGGAAAGCATGCAAGAGAGGTTCTAAGGAAATTTGGAATGGAAAGGTGCAAAACAACTTGGAATCCCCTGAAAAACTAAGCAAGGAAGATGGAACAGTGAAGACAGATGCAAACATGTATAGAAGCTTGGTGGGCAATTTGCTCTACTTGACAGCCATAGGCCAGACATCAAATAAGCCCCTAATTTACTCTCAAGAGTCATGCAATCTCTGAGCTAACTACATTTCAAGGCTGGGAAGAGGTTGTTGAGGTAGATAAGAGAGTCTCTTGACTCTAGAATTTATTACGGAAGAAATCTTGAAGTTAAATTGATGAGGTTCGCTGATAGCGATTAGGGAGGTTCTATGGATCACATAAAGAACACTTCTGGTCAAGTTTTTCATCTGATCAGGAACAATTGACTCTAGAATTTATTATGGAAGAAATCTTTAAGTTTGATGAGTTTCGCTGATAGTGATTAGGGAGGTTCTGTGGATCACATAAAGAACACTTCTGGTCATGTTTTCCATCTGATCAGGTATGATAAGCTGGAATTCAAAGAAACAAGAAACTGTGGCACAATCAACAGCAAAGCAGAGTATGTGACTGCAGCAAGTGCAGTGAATCAGACCATCTGGCTCACGATCATAACCTCGATCAGAAAAAAAAATGAACCTACAATAATATTTTGTAACAACCAATCAGCTGAGGCTATCGCCAAGAATCCTGTGTTTCATGGCAAGACCAAGCATATCAAGATCAATTATCAATTTTGTGAGAGAAGCAGCAAAGGAAGAGGAATTTGTTTGCAGCATTGCAAGTCTGAAAAGTAGCTGGATGATATCCTTACCAAACCACTTCCCAAGCACAGGTTTCAAGTCTTAAGAAAGATGCTTGGCATTGTTAGCAAAATTACCAAAGAGGAGGGTTGAAGGGTTGACAATATGCTATCAATCAAAGAAGTTTTATCTTATTCAAGTTCACATTTTATATCTTTCAGTTTCTAAATTGTAGGAAGCTTGTGTTGGTGTATAATCCTGTTTTAGTATGTACAGGGTTGCTTAAGAGAGTAATAAAGGATTGTTTTCTACTTTTAGCATCAAAGGAGCTGTTTTGGGCATCAGATTATGTCTACTTTTTAGGGTGATGAATGAAGCAGAAAAATCTGGTTTTTTGCCTCAGTTCTCTTTCTCTTCTTCTCTGGTTTTTCTCTGGTTTTGTCACTTGCATTTCCAACATGAATTAATGAATTTGCTCTTCACCAACTGCTGGATGGTTCTCGTATCCATTTATTAACTACCTGAGGAAACATATTATAATGGTTCCTACCTTCACAAGACTTGCAACAAGATTCAGCATGCTCATCCTGTTGTATTCCCAAATGATAGGAAGCTGTACATTTAGATACAAGAAACTAGACTTATTAGCACATTAGTGGGCACCAATTACGTATTAAATCTAGAAAAAAAATATGATGAGTAATATCTAAAAGGAGAGCATGTGAAACAGCCCAGCTTACTGAATTACAAATATAATAAATTCACTCAAGTTAACCAAGATCAAATTTTAAGATAAAAATACAGGCACAAAAACACAATCATCGGTATACATACAAAAGTTTTTAGATACTTATTATAACATTTTCTGAAATTGAACAAAAACTAATGCTGGAGAATAATGGTGTGTTAACTAAGCCCTTGATCTAGTTACAAGTTTTAAAATTAAGATAATGTTTGTTAGAGAGGATATTAATGGACTTTAACAAAAGAAACTTGTCCTGTGTTTGGTGGTGAAAATTTCTAAACTATCCTTCTTTCTCTCTACATTCAGACACCATATCTCTATATTTTTTTTGTTTTTCCTAGAATTGAACACAAACAACATTTCAAGAATGAATTTCTTTTTGGCTTTTGGCCTAATATTCTTGTTAATTGACATTAAATAATAGTTCTTAACCTTTTACTTTGTTTTTACATTCTTCCTGATATTATTTTTTAATTTAATTTTTTCTCATGATGTCTTATTTACTGAATCTTGATTTATATGTTTTAAGAAATAATAATGATTGTGATTTCAAAAAAAAAAAGAGAAATAACAATGATTGATTTTGAGTTACCATTAATGATCTTTTTATCAGTTTAATAGTTGATTTGAAATAACTTCTTAAATAGTAATATTATAAAAAAAAATTATTTAATCTATATATCTATTTTTTATGTTAAACTATTAATTAAAATCAATTTTAATTTAAAGTTGATATAGTTTTCTCTAAATTAACCATTAACAGAACTTAAACATTAAAATCAAAAGGACATTTAAGTACTTAAACATATATTTTATTATGTTCAGACTTACAAATACTAAATGTATGATTTTGTACTATTTAGTCCTGTTTAGTTTTATTTAATCCCAGCCTTTCTACCCAACTTTTATCGAAATGGTTTGAGCTTGTTAAAAGTGAACCTGACGATCTCTTTTGAGCAAAAAAACTTTTCTTGAATTTCTTGCCTGCCTCCTCCATTAACAGCTTACATAGGTCACAAAACAATTAGACCGAAATTAATTGCTCATAGGAAAGAGTAAAGGAATGATATAACTGAACATCTTAAGTCTGCGATAAAATTGAAAAAAAAAGCAGATAATATTAGGACAACTTCCAATAATGAGCTAGGATCTGTAACAAATAACTAACTTCTGGGTATAAATTATAATGTTTATTTATGGAGAGTAGAGACATAACAAATGCTACAACAAGCCCCAACAGAATCAGATCTGTCCCGAACCTACTGAGACCTACTCCAGATGGATGCAGGCCTCATCTAAACCTTCAAATGAGATAAGCCACAAAGCAGTATACAAATTATAGGTTACCAGAAAGAAACTGAAGTAATCTTTTACTCCATAGAAACAATAAAAGGACCGTGGTCTCTTCATTATGAATCTAAGACTGTGACGAGAGAAACCTCTTGGACTAGTGATGCAAAGCAAGAAATGGATCGATCTTCTGTTCAATGGACTGTATCAAGAGTTCTCATGCATGGACTTACAGTACATATTCCAAACATCCTAAAACCTGATATTTTATTAAAGTTATACACAGCTGCACCCCTTTGGAGCCCTGTGAATGACATTTTCTTCTTGTCTTTCTCAAAGAAAAATCCGAAACCCTGATCCTTCCCCAAGGTATCAATAAGTAAAGAAAAGGAGAGCAACACCCCCTAGGCCTCTTTAAACTTATCTTTTCAAGAACAAGAAGAACATGGTCCAGTACATCAAATAACATTATCAGATGTATTATTGGCATTAAACCATTGCCAGAATATTCACGTAGCTAAAACAAGATATTTAATAATAAAAGTAAACCTGGCTCATCAAAATAATAAGTGCACCAAAATAATTTTAATCTTCTGATGCATGTGTGCTACACCAGTCAACAAATGACTTTAGGAATGTTGGGTTTGAAAGGAAGGAAATCTATTGGATTAACAACAGCGCCATGAATCAAGTCTAAGATAGCAAAAGTAGAAGATCTAACCTCTTTGGCATCAGGCCACTTGTTGTCACTGATCTCCAAGGTCAACTCAAAACAGCCAGCATAGATGTAGTTCCAGTCTTGCATGCCACCATATATAGGGTACCTGCAACAAGTTTCTCTTAAGAAATTGCTACACGGCATATACACTGGAAAAGGAAACAACCAGTAGTTCTGCTAAAATGGTGACTGAATTAACTAAAGAATAGATAACCCAGTTCACAAACCAAGATGCTCCATTTGTGATCCCTCCTTGGAATTCTGTGCTCAAAGACATGTTATAGTGAGAGCGGCTATATGTGCTTGCCATGAAGCGGAATGTTTCATCATCAGGACAAGAAAAATAGTGGCTCCTGGCAGTAAACCACATCAAACAATAAAACTAAGTGAAAAATAAAATAGCTTAATGTTCAGAAATCCTCCAAAGTAATAATCAAGTTAATTGCAAGGAAGTGATCAATGTAAAGCATCAATTATAAACTCTTAGAATGCAGGTTAAAGTAAATAGAAAATTTTTGTTACATCATAGCAGCATGCTAATAATCAAGATAAGAGCATAGTTATTTGGTATTTCGGAAAAGAGCATCAGCAAGTCTTCAGGCATGCACAGAAATAACCATATTACAGTTACGACTAAAATTCAAGTTAAAATGAATATAAGATTGGTTACATACCAATTAATTGAAAGAAAATATATCATTAGAAGGAAGGAAAAAACATACAAACTAAAGAAGGATAAGCTATCCTCAAAAAGAAAAAGAAACAAAGTAAAAGCACTATTATTGCATGACAGCAACCAATTTCCTTTGTGAAGTGGATAAAGAAGTTTCCCGAATGAAACCATGGGCTTTACCAGTTTATAACATATAACTGAGAAGCAGAGAGCAAAGTTTGAACAGGAAATCACAAAATTTATAAATTTTATTGCTTCGAAAAACTAATCATGAATTGTTTTCAGAAAAATCACAAACATAGAGTACTCACTTTCGGTCCGGAGTGCCATCCCATGGGTAATTTGCAACAAGTGCACCCTGAGAAGAAAAATAGCATTAAGAATTCTTCTCTCTGCATCTTGTAAAATATTACTCCAAATTCAAAAATCACAACCTAGCTCGCAACAAGTGCAAATTCTGAACAATATATGGTGCTTGTGGAGTTTCTCTCTTCTTTTCTCTGCATCTTATGCACATACACACAGAACAAAATCAACTGGTTAATCTGTACTACCCAAATGTGCTAGTCCATAGATACACGCAGCATCCAGAATTCCCATTTACAAAAATTGTGCATACACAAGTAAACCAAGTGGGTTAACGACAGTTGTTTAATGACAGCTGTATCAAAATATAATTCTAGCACTGCCGAAGACACGAAAGGGAAGAAGGGAAAAAGAAAAGGAAGAATGGAAGGGGAAGTAAAGAAAAGAGGAAAGGGAAGGGAGACAAGAACAGAAATAAGAGATTCAATTTCTTATTTTGATTATCACTTCTCAGTACAATGTCAGCCTTTATAGCTGCATTGTCAGCTCAGTTTCAACTGTTATAATCAGTTACATTTCTGCCATTTCTTTTATCTTTAACAATCTATAACTGACACTAACTAACCGTTAGAATCCCTCACATCAGCTAACCTGTATTACTCAAATGTGCTAGTCCTTTGATAATATAGCATCAACAGTTCCCTTTGACTGACCAATTTTGCATGTATTCGGAGCTTAGAAAAAGAGAATATAAAAAGAGGAGTATTTGATATTACAATAAGATAGTTTCTTTTCTTCTCCAAAAAAAAAGTTTCTTTCACAGGTTTTTTGCAAACCCATGCCTTTACAATTCAAGTTTTCCGGGGAGAGTATGACATTTCTAGCTTCCTTAAGGGCATACACTCACAGGAGATTTTCAGATATTGCTATGCCCGTGATACACAGGAACTGGAGGGGCAATAATCTACTGATCTTTGGAGAGTTTGGTAGTAACTATATCTTGTTTTGAAGTCCCTTCTTCTAGAAGTCTCTAGGAGGATATATTATGTTCCATCCTTGTATTTTTTATTGTCTTTAGTAATTTTTTTTATCAAGAAAAATTCTTTCACAGCTTCCACCAGAAGCAAACTTCAAAAACTGTTATGCACTTCAGTCACGAGATTCCAGTAAATTATTTCTGCTTATGTTATATGACCTAAGAAAATTGTAGGTCCAGAGAAACGAAAGCAGCTCCCCATCCCTTTTGATCAGTAACAAGAAAAAGAATGAATGTTAACAATAAAGAGGACATCTCAGATTTATTTAGGATAAGGCATGATAGGAGAGAACTAGTACCCCATGCAAACTGGCTGATGCTGTGAAATGTATTTCTTTCAACCAATTCATAATTGCTCTAGTTTCAGGTTGCCGCATATCCTCATCATCATTCAATGGAGAAAACTGGCATATCATTTCAGTCAGTATCTATTAATCCATAAGACACAAATAGACAAAATCTAGCAAGAAAAGTAAATCCAAATTTCAAACACCACCAAATACGTTCTTTACAACCACAGGAATCTGATCTGTTTAACAAAACAAATTGAACCTTAACCAATATTCAAATCCACAGCGACTAAACCAGTTGAAAAACTAGATTAAATATGTCTGGCTGTATGTGAGCCAAATTAAAGAATAACCACAACTTCACTCCAATAGTTGACTACAAACCTTGGCTTGAAGAGAATCAAGATCCTATGTTTGGTTATCCACCTAGAGAAATCTCACCAAGTTTCAAACCAATCCAGACAGTAAAGGTTTCAATTTTACCATCATGTTTTAAGAAAATTCACTTCAAGAGAAACCTCTGTATATCTTGATTGTTGAGGGGGAAAATACAATGTATTTAAGTAGATTTTCTTTGTTGTGTTAGTGTCCTCATTCTTCCTGACTGAATTTATGAAAAACTATAGGAACCCTGAAAATGAGGTATTTCTAATTTAAGGAACATGTTTGATTTAGAGTTTTAGTTTGGATATCTGATAACATCATAAACAATAAAATAAAATAAATCCTCTTTAGGAAGAGTGGATTCACTTAAAATGTCATGGTTGATTTGAGATTATATCATTATGTACAAATAAGTAACCTAGCAAAAAAGTTACCTGGTCCGGGAAATCCCGATTTAGATCAATATTATTTGCATTACCACGTCTCTTAATTGAAAACCCATCCGGATTCATGGATGGAAGTATATGAAGGTGAACATTTTGTATAATTAATCGAGCCTGTAAAGATCAAAGAATATTTTAGGACGAATTAAAACCTTTTGATAGAGGACAAAGAGGGTTTAAAAATAAAATTAAGAGAAAATTTATTAAGAATCAAATTTGGAGATCTCGTATCTCAATAATCAAAATAATATCTTCATAATTGAATAATGATCATAAATAGTCTGTTTAATAATTAAATTATCCATACCTTATTTATAGACACCAAAATGCAATCAGCATAGGAAATCAAGAAAATCTAATAAATAGGAAAATAAGCAAAATAAAAATAACTAGGAATATACACAGAAGAGGAAATTAAATTTTCTTATTTCTCTTTATTGTAAAACTTTTTTGTTTCTACTAGAAACAATTAATTAAATCTTCCTATTCCTTTTAGTGTAAACCCCCAAACATTTAATTTCTTTCACTATTTCTACATCATTCTCCCCCACTAGAAAAGAGCTCGACTTGGGTAATATAGACTAAAAATGTCACTCCAAGAAATCTTGATCAAATTCATCAAATTGGTCTTCAGAAATCCAAGGAGCATCCTAATCTCTCTTTCTCTAACTGTTTGATAAATAGAGTGTAATCTTCTTGAGCCTACTCAAATTCTATATCTACCATCACCTTTGTGAACCTGTCAAACCATACTTTTGGCAATTGTTTGAGTCCACAAAAGACCTTCTTTGATTTATATACTTTATTTAGTACTATTTCTTTGTCAAAGTCTGATGGAATATTCATGTAGATTTTTCTTACTCTAAATTCCTATGCAGTCAAGCATTTTTTACATCAAGTTGTTATAATTGTTGATCAAAGTGAGCAGCCAACAACACAAGATTCGCACAATATTCATCTTATCTACTGGTACAAATGTCTCCTATTAGTCTAATCCATATGTCTATATATAATATTTTCTATCAGTCTCACTTTATATATTTCAGTTGTCTCATCTACTTTATATTTGATTGCAAACACCAATTTATATCGCACCGCTTTCTTGTCTTTAGGAAGATCCATCATTTCCTAAGTCTGATTCTTTTAAAATATCTATATTTCCATACTCAAAGTATTTTTTCATTTTTCACATAATAACACCTCAAATACTGTGTTAGAGATAAATTCATTATTTAAACTTGTGAAAAAATTTCTATGAGTTGATGACCACTTATTAAATGACATAAACCATGAAATAGGATACATATGGTGCTTAGTGCATTCTTTTATACCTTTATAAAGTGCAATTGGTATATCATTATCAAACTGTATAATTTTTTTGAACTTACTTCAATTCCAAGATCAAGATCGAATTCTTAGATTGATTTTACTTTAATACTCGACATTTTCCTCATTGTATCCACCTGAGAGAACCTAGGGTTTAATATAATCTCTAGGGGACGGATTTTGAAGGTTATCTTGTAATGACAAATTTTCTAGTGGGTTTGAATATTCTTTTGTAGTGATGGTTTTAGGGGAATTTATGGTAAAGGTGGTAGAATAAAGTCCGTCAATAATTATGTATTCTTACCTTCCAATATAAACTCCCTCTAAAGATAAAATTATGTGAAATAGGACTTTCACTTAACAAATATAACATCTGCAAACACATAAAATTTTTTAGTGAGGGAATAGGGACATTTGTACCTCTTTTGAGAGGAGAACCCTACAAATACACATTTCAAGGCTTAAGGATCAAGTCACCCTCTTTGGTGGAATGAATATGAACAAAGACAACATACTCAACTATCTGATAGATTAGATGGTTTGTGACATTGATTGTTGGGTAAAACTGTTGAAGTAGAGAGAACTTTTGAAATCAAGGACATTTGTAAACAGATAATTAATAATATAAGTAGCAATATGGGCAGTTTTGCTTTTAGGACGTTGTTTTGAAAATTTTCGATGGTGGTTAAAAGATGACTATTCTTACGTTGACTACTCGTTTTGTTGTAGAGTATGGATGCAAGATGATTCATGAAGAACTTCTTCTTAATGGAAGAATGATGAGAGTGATAATTGAAAAAATCTTTAACATTATCAATATTTTTTCATGGCAGTTCCAAATTAGGTTTTTATTATGTCGTAAAGTTATGGTATGATATGACTAACATAATATTTGTCTTTGGGTAAAACAACTAGGTGATCCGAACGCAATTGTTGGTAAATAACACAAACTAGTAAGCCCAAAAATATCATGGGCGTGAATTGGTCCCTAAATATCACTATGGACTAAAAAAAAGAAACTGAACTCCTTTTTTAGTAATAAGAAATGTTACACATTTATGTTTTCTAAACTTACAGATATCGCAATGTAAATTTTTATATTTTGAATTTTTAAACAATAAAAAGAACATAACCTTTAAAACGGAGAAATATGGATACCCAGGTCTCTTATGGTGGAGCGAAATCATATATATGGAGTCAATTATAACAGCAGAAAAGGCTCCCTCAAGTGCATTCAAGTAGTAGAGTCATAGTGAAAATAGTCAAATATTACTTTGCACTTCAAGTATCATTTACTAACTGACACAAAATTAGGGCACAATTTGAGAACATGTAACACATTTTATAAGACAAGAGTAAGACTAAGCTAAATATTCCCCTTTCTGGCAATAGTATTTAAGGGATCATCCTATAGTAGTGATCTTCTACTTGGATAGGAAACATTGGTGTAAAAATGTTTAGAAATATTAATCATATATTCTGTGACTCCTGAGTTTACAATCCAGGAATTTTCCAAGAGTTTATCTAAGGCATTCAAACTATATGAAAAATAAAGTATATCTAAGTACTTTATTACACTTGTACCTGAAGACTTCTCAAGATCTTCCAATCAACTTTGTAGACATTCAATCTCGACCTTGAAAATAGTAAGAGCAGCATATGCTCCTTCTCTCCATTGGTTAGCCATAACCTATTTAGGAATCTTCTATAAGGTATTTTTGTATTCCCACTCTTTACTAGAAGTATTGGGCTTACTATGCAATTTCCAATACTTTTCTTTGGTGTCTCTAACTTTGTTACAAAACATCGACTAGAGATATCCCCATGATCTATTCCTGGAGTTGAGTTTTCAGAGCGACTCACCTTCTTTACTTACTAACGAGGTTTGGCAATTCATGATACCATGAGTGAACGATACGGAGCAAGGTTCTAACATGACATTTCTTCTACTCTCCTCCACAGTTACAATAAAATTACCTCACTGAGTGTTACATTCCCTTTGTTCCCAAAATTTGAACTCGTACTTGATCGTATTTGAGATTTGACCTGTTAGTAATTGATATGCACGGTCTTTTTCTATAAATTTCTTAAATCGAGTTGTATCTCTACTGCAATTCATCGTCAAATTGTGGTACTAATCCAACTCCTACCATCAATTCTTTAACAACTTAGAATATTCATTTACTAACATATCCCCCGCTTTAGTAGACCATGTTTTAACCATCAGGTCACAAATTTATGTGGCGCCTTGACTTTAGAATAGATTTCGCCAATTGCATCGAATACTACTTTTATTGTGGGCAAGAACATCACAGACTTGCTTATTTCTAGAGTTATAGAGTTCCATATTCATGTCATGATTATAGAGTTTTCTTCGTGCCATGCATCAAAGGTGGGGTCGTCTAGTTTTGGTCTGGTACCTAGAAGATGGCTATAAGCTTGCTTTTAAATTTGAGGATAGTCCAGATTAATTGGGACCAACTTAAATATTATTTACCTATAAAGCGATAAGCCGCCCGAATTGGCTGAAATTCACTAATGGGATTTCTAGTGTGGGAATGTGCCCCATATTTTGAGATGTTAACTTCAATACCTTTAAGAATTGCATGGTCGTTATTATCTAAAAGAAAAATTACAAGAGCAATTTTACCCGGAACACAAGTAGCACAACGGCTAGTTGAAGCAAGACAAAGGCTGGCTGGAGCAATGACAAAACAGGGCAACAGCTGGTTGGAGCAGGGCTGCAAGACCAAAGGTGGCTGACACAAGGACACAGCTCACACGAAATAGAGGTCACAGAAAGTTTCACAGTTCATCTGGACTGTGCACAGAGGTCTGTCGGCGTTTCAAGACAGAGGTGTAGTGAGTGGCTATGTGATTGCTGGAGGCAGCAGCTAAGGGCAAAATAAATCATCTAGATAGTGCTTCGCAGAACCATGTCGCAACATAAACAGTCACATATGGTCAGTGGGGTCTCAACAAACGGCATCGCGTCTGCGTAGCGTGTACATATATGAGAAGGTCGGGATGGCGCTGCGTGACATCTGCATTTTATACCTTGCACAGCGTCTTTGTCGCATGAGAAGATCAGGATGAAGGCTTAAGCAGATTAGGGCTCTTGCAACAAAGACGAGGTTGTGGCAACGTGAAGACCGGGTTGCCTGCTGCAAATGGCCAGTGGTAGTGGCTGATAACTGATCTATTGTGGTCGGTTAAGAAGGCTAACCTAACCCTTTTAAGGTTTTTTTTCAGTTTTTTTTATTTCGGAAATAAAGGTCAAATAGGATTTGTACTTGAGACTAGGTTCCTTTATTATAGCTTTAATACTAGTTAAGAATGATTTGATATATATTCTATTAAATATTATATCCTATTTATACAAAATTTTTAAGACCAAAAAAAATAATTAATTAATTACAATTAATTACAGATGGTGTAG